GCCTATCATCATCGGCCCGCTCCCACTGCAGCCCGCGGCAGGAGTGGCGCCAGGGAGGGCGCCTCAGGCGGCGGCGGGCGCTGGGCCAGCGCCAGCGGCCGACGCAGGCGCAGCGGGCGCAGCGGCCCCGCCGGCGCCCGCAGCAGGCGCAGCGGCCCCGCCAGCGCCCGCAGCAGGTGCAGCAGCCGCAGCGGCAGCGCCATCAGCCCCAGTACCCATGGACGTGGTAGGCGCAGGCTTGGAGCCGCACGAGAGGGCGAAGAGGGCGCGCCTGGGCACGATGCCGATGCCCCTGCCAGCGCCGGCACCATTGGGTTCCGGCGGAGCCCTGCCGGAACGTGCTGTGCACACTTCTGGCGCTGCTCCGCCGCCGGCGGGAGTGCGCCACGGCGGGGCCCGGGCAGTGCCAGCGCAACGTGATGGAGGCACTGGCGACGCGGAACCGCCGAGCCAGCGCAGGAGAGTTGCGGCGTTGCGCGAGGTGTGCGAGGAGAAGGAGCTGGCGAACTTCTACGAGGCGCGGCTCAAGCACATCGCGAAGCTGACCAAGGAGGACGGCAAGATCGTGAAGGTGGTGCCGAGAGCGGAGGCGACGTCGAGGCCTTTGTCGGGGCGCTGGGTGGAGGACCCGCATGATGATGGAGCTCTGAAGGCTCGCTGGACCACGGGGGGTTTGAGCAGACCTTGCAGGGCAGCTAGGACTTCTTCTCGGCGGCGCCCGCCACGATGCACTTGAAGATGATGCTCGCGGGCGCGGCGAGGAAGGGCCACGGGGAGGCGATCGGGGACTGCAGCGGCGCGTTCTACTGGGCGCCCTTAGATCCTGACGGCACGGGCGAGAAGGTCTACATCGAGCATCCGCCGGAGGCCGGCCTGCCGCCCGACATGGTCTGGGAGGCGGTCTCGGCCTTCCCAGGGCTGAAGGGCAGCCCGAGAGCCTGGGACGCACGCTCCAGCAAGGTGCTGGCCAGGGACATGCAGATGGAGCAGTCGCGCCACGACGGCTGCATCTTCTTCAAGATCGAGGGCGACTACGACCAGAAGGCAGGGAGGCACATCGACGACTTCCTCGTCACGGGGCCCAGGGAGCAGGTGAACTCCTTCCTCGGGGAGGCCAAGGAGAAGCTGAACATGCAGGATTCGGTGAAGCTCTTCGAGGATGGTGACGAGGGCCGCCTGCTGGCGCTCAACATCAGGAAGGTAGACGGCGGGTTCACGTTGCAGGGCAACCCGCTCCTGATCACCGACATGGCCGTGCTCTACAGGTCGTGCGTGGGCAAGGCAATGTACCTCAGCCACCGGCGGCCCGACATCCAGCACGTCGTCATCAAGCTGAGCAGGCAGATGAAGGCGCCCACGGTGAAGGCTTGGAGGGTGCTCAAGGAGTTGGTCCGCTACCTCTTGGGCACGCGCGAGGTCCACCAGCTGCTCGTGCCACGCGGTGGATCGGACTCCCCGAAGACGCACGTTGCTAGCGACTGGGCCGACGACCCAGACGCCAGGAAGAGCATCTCGGGCGGCACGGTCATGATGCACGGCTGCTCGGTGCTCACGTGGGCTAGGGCCCAGAAGACCCCGGCATTGTCCAGCGCGGAGACGGAGCTTTACGCCATTGGCTCAGGCGCGATCGAGACGCTGGGTGCCGACACGTTACGGAAGGAGTGTGGCTATGGCGAGGCTGCGCTCGCGCTCATGACGGACTCGTCTTCGGCGCTCGCTGTTGCCGAGAAGCGGGGGCCAGAGGGGGATGAAGCACATCGAGGTGATGATGTTGGCGGTCCAGGACTGGATCAAGGAGAATCGGCCCCGAGTCGGCAAGGTGCCGACCGAGGCCAACCCGGCCGATCTCCTCACCAAGGCCCGGGCGAAGGAGAAGCTGGTGAGGCGCGGCTGGGAGTTGGGCCTGCGCGGCGGGCCCTTCGGCTCGCTCTCCTGGAGGGCGGCTGTGACGGGCTAGACGTGAAGTGAAGGGGGCTTGAGCCGACGCGCGGAGGTCCCGCGTGTTCCCGCCAGCCCGCCTGCAAGTGCAAGTGTAGGACCGATCCTCGGTCGCGCCCGCTGGCGAGTGCTCCCCGCGGTCGCGAAGAGAGTGTCGAGGATCGTCGATGCTGATCGTCACCGGCGGGTTCCTGCAGAGCCCTGCCGGAACACGCTATGCACACTTTGATATGTAGCCCCTTTTGGCACAAAACGAACCAGGAATGCATATTGGCATGCGTGTACTGTGGTACACTACTTCAGTGGAGCAGTGAATTCGTCAAGGCCTGGGGCCTGCTAGAACCTGAGCCCGCGCGAAGCGCGCGCGATCGTTCGAGCACATATATATAAACACACACGCTTGCGGTGGATAAGTCGGGGGCGGGAGATCAGGGGTGCGGAGAAGACATGGCCGTTAAGAGATTGCATGGCAGTCGGTGTTGTGGCTCAGTCTCTTGAGGCTTGTCGCCCTGCGGGGCATGTCTGACCCTGGCTCCGGGCCACCGCCGCCCGCCTGGGAGCCCATCCAGGAGGCGGTCGCCCCCCCTCCCGGGCCGCCGCCTGGCTGGCCCCCGCGGTCCCCTGGGCGCTACTGCGGGTGGTGCTCGGGGCGGCTGGGGCCCAACGAGTCGTTGGCCCTGGCCCTGAACGGCCAGCTCTGGGAGGTGTGCGAGTTGTGCTACCTTCTGGCGCTGGCGCGCCAGCACGCCCGGCGGGCTCGGCTGACGCCGGGCGAGCGCGCGGTGCTGCTGGAGCAGGCGCGCCACCTGACGGCCCTCCTGGCGGCGCTGGCTGGCCTGGCGGACGAAGGCGTCCGAAGCTAAGGCCAAGGCGAAGGGCAAGGCCAAGGCGGCAGTTCGGGGCCTTGGCGTCGCGCGCGGCGGAGGACGGGCCCGCGGGCGCGGCCGCGGCGGTGGCCGAGGCGCAGCTGCGGCGGGCCGCGGGCGTGGCCACGCCCAAGGGGGCGCGGGAGCTGCGGGAGGTGGCCCCGGCGCGGGACCTCCTGCGCTACCCCCCCTAGGCGCGGCTGCTCCCCCTGGCGGCGGAGGGGCTGCGCTGCTGCCTGGTGCCCCCCCGCTGGGGATCGCGGCTGGAGCGCTGCCGGGCCCGCCTGCCGCCGCGCCTGGAGGCGATGCGCCGCGGGCGCCGCCCGGCGCCGTGGCTGGGGTCGGCGCGGCCCTGGTAGGGGCCTTGGCCGCGCCTCCTGCTCCAGGAGGGGGGGCGCTGCCCGGCGCGCCGCCGGCGCCTGGACCCCTCGCGCTGCCAGGGGCGGCTGCTGCGGGCGCTGGGGGCGGCGGCGCGACGGCCGCTGCTGTGCCGGCGCCAGTCGGCGGAGGCGCCGTCGCACTGGAGCGTCTGGTGGGCGGGCCTTGGATGTGCTCGCCGGCCTTGCAGCACGGGGCCTTCACAGCGGGGGCGGTGCTGGAGACGCCCACGCACGACCCGACGGGGCAGGTGGGCGGCGCGGCGCTCTTCGAGGTCGTGGAGGCGGGCATGCCGGGCCCAGACGGGGCCTATACCTCTCCGTGAACTCCTGGGGCGCCTCGCTCCCGGCCCGCGCCCTGGAGCTGGACCTGAGCTTCCCCGCCCCAGGCGCCGGGCAGCCAGGGGCCCTGCACCTCTGCGCGGGCGGCGCCGCTGCCTGCAGGGCCCCGCGGCTGGTCGGGCGCGGCGAGCGGCACGCCGATTGTCTTCGCTTGAGGTCGGCTCGGAGCCTGGTCGAGCCCTGGGTTCGGCCGACCTTCCGACCGCCAGGCGGCGGTGGGCCCGGGGGCGGCGCCGCCGCTGCGCCCGCGCGGGGCCGCCTCGCGAGGGCTGCGGCTGGGTTCGCGGCGGCTGCGGCTGCCCTGGAGGCGGCCGGCTCGGCAGCTCGCTCGCTGGCGGTCCGCCGGCGCCGTCGCGAGCAGTCGCGAAGCGACAGCGAGGAGCGGGCTGGCGGTGACCAGCTGGATTTTCGCGACGCCCCCTCCCGCGGCAACGCCATTCAGGCGGTGGCCGATGAGCGCCCAGGCATGCTGCACGACGAAGCGATTGCCCAGATCGCGCGTGTCATGGGCCTGCGGGAGGGGGCGGACGGGCAGAGGGTTCGCCCTCGCATCAGGGGCTACCTCCAGGCCGTGGTGTTTGGCCACCACCCGATTCACTCGGTCGGGGAGCGGGCGGTGCGCGAGCTCCAGACGCTGGCGGCAGCGATGGACCTCCTCGAGGACGGGTCGCTGGCGTCGGTCGGACGCGCTGATGCAGCGGTTCAAGGCGCTGGAGATGGCGCTGAACGACGGCAACTGGTACATCGCCAACGAGCTGGAGGTGGTCGAGGGGATCCGCCCGACGCTCGCCTCCCGCGACGAGCAGGAGTCAGCGCGGAGATCGGCGATGCTGCGGCGGCGGCTGGAGGAGGTCCGCGCCAGAGGGGCAGCCCCCCGCCGCTGACCCGAGGAGGCGGCGGCTGCGGAGCCACCCCGAGCGCCCTCGCCAGGGCGGAGCCGCGGGCGCGGGGGCGACCCCGCTCGCCGCGGGCGGCCCTTCATGGCGACGAGGCGTGGCGCTGCCCGCCCTGGAGGAGCTGCGGCGGCCGCGGGCCAGGCTGCCAGCGGGCTGGAGGACCCCGCAGCCGCTCGCGAGGCCTCGAGGTCCCCCGCCCGAGTGCCCTCCGACGCCGGGGGGCGGCCTCCCTCGCCGCTCCCGCCCAGGACGGCCCGCGGGGACAGCCCCCACCCTGGCGCTGCGGCGGCGCTGGGCCGCGTGGCGCTGCTGGGCGCTCCCGAAGTCCGCGCCTTCCGTCAGGACCAGCCAGCAGCGCAGGTCGGCGGAGAGGCTCCCCAGGGGCGCGGCGGCAGCCCGAAGGGCAAGGGCAAGCACCGCGGGCGCCGGGCGCCGAGAGGGGGGCTGCCTGGCCGCGGCAGGCCGGCGCCCTGGAAGGGCCGCGGCAAGGGCCGCTAGCACTGGAGGCTCGGGCGCGCTCAGCTGATGATGCACGTGAGGATGCGGGCCCTCTGGGCCCAGCTGGAGCTCGTGCTGACCGCATGGGCGAGCCAGGGCCGCCAACTGACTCGCTGGCAGCAGGCCAGGAGGCGGCGCGCGCGGAGGCAGTGTGGCCAGACGCCGGCGCCCCCCTGGCGGAGGTCTTCCGCATGTGGCAGGAGAAGGCTGGGGCGGCTGCCGAGTCCTTCCGTCGGCCACTAGATGCGGGCCCGATCCTCGAGGAGCTGGTGCGAGAGTTTCCAGGGTCGCTTGGGGTCTACGTGGGCAGGTTTATGCACAGTGGGCATCGGCCAACTAGACGAGGGCGGCTGCAGCATGACCTGTTGCCGCTACCCTGTCCTGATCTCGAAGCTTCGGACTTCGCCGTGGAGGAGAAGATTGACCCAGGCGACCTGAGCTCGCTGCAGTCTCGCTTGAGGGCGATCGTGATGGCTATGAACTGGGAGGCTGGCTACCGCCACCTGAAGTGGGCGGACGTCTACGGGCCGGAGCCGAACGCAGCCCAGCGCTCGGCCCTCCTCGGGATTGCGCGGCGCATCTACTCGAGCGTCGGGCCCGAGCCCATGGCCGAGACCCTCGACTGGTCCGAGAAGCTGAAGGACCGGGCCATCGCGCACGACGGCTCGGAGATCTCCACGCCGAGCAAGATCACGCTGGAGCAGATCGAGGGCGGCCTGCCGCCTGTGGGGGTAGCCGACTCCATCGAGGCCGCGGACCTCGCCACGGGCTTCGTGCGGGCGGCGCTGCTGGACCCCTCCCTGGTCCTCCTGCCGCCGTCTCAGAGGCGCCTTGCGCCGACCTCGACGCGCGTCTGGGCGACGGCGCAGGAGTGGGAGCAGGTGGTGAGTGCCTTGTTTGCACGCGGGATGGTTGGCCCGATCGACGAGGGCGAGATCGCGACCAGAGACGGGGTCCCCTTGATCAACGGAGCCTTCGGCGTGGCGAAGGTGCACGACGCGCCAGTCCGCTGCGGCGATGGCGAGGAGCGGCCCGTCCTTCGGCCCATCGTCAACCTGATCCCCGCGAACGCGTGCCAGCGCACCATCGCGGGGGACACCCCCGTCATGCCGACGACGGGGCAGCTGAACGGGCTGGCGCTGGCTCCAGGGGAGCAGCTGCTCTGGAGCGGGGCGGACCGCAAGGCATTCTTCTACGTCTTCAGGGCGCCCCCCGCCTGGCGGCCCTACATGGCGCTGGGACCGCCGGTGCCGCGGCGGCTGGTGGGCGGCAGCGGCGACGGGCTGACCCGCATCGCGCTGAGGGTCATCGGCATGGGCTGGATCAGCGCGGTCGGGGTCACGACGCACCTCCACCGCAACATGCTGAGGCGGTCGGCCCTGGTCCCCCGCGGAATGCCGCCTGCGGCCGAGGTGGTGCGCACCCGCCGCCAGCCTGCGGAGGCCCAGGCAGACGGCATCGCGATGTGGTTCATCTACATCGACAACCTCGAGATCGCGGAGATCGTGTCGAGTGAGGAGGCCGTAAAGCTGAAGGGGGCCATCCCCGAGCTGCTGAGCCGGGCGTCGGCCTGCTACGAGGAGGCTAAGTCTCCGGGATCGCCGGGGAAGGATGTCCACCGCGCCCAGCAGGTGTCCACGCTGGGGGACCTCGTGGACGGCGCGGCTGGCGTGCGGCGGCCGCCGCTGGGCTACGTCACGGAGCTCACGAGCCTGACGTTGTGGTTCCTAGCGAAGAAGCGCCCGAGCAAGCGCGTGGCGCAGATCCTACTGGGGCGCTGGGTTCGCGTGCAGTGCTACCGGAGGCCGCTCGCCGCCGCCTTCGTGAATGCTTGGAAGTGGCTGGCGTCGGGCCGCTCGGGCGGGCTCGTCACTGTGGGCGTCGCCGAGGACCTGCTGATTGCGGCCGCGCTCGCACCGCTCAGCGTGGCGGACATGCGGCTGCCCGTCGACCACCTCGTGACGGCGTCCGACGCCTCTGAGGCCGCGGGTACAATCGTCTACTCCCAGGGGCTGTCGGACATGGGCCGTGCCCTTGGGGCTAGAGGCCCGCGGGCGCTCAACCCCGCCTGCGAGGATCTCGGTCTTCTCTGGGATCGACGGGGCGCGCCGGGCCTTCGAGATCCTGGGCCTGGTCCCCGCGGCGCACCTGTCCTTCGAGGTTGACGCCGAGGCTGCGCGGGTGGCTCGACGAGCGCACCCCAGCACCGTGCACCTGGGAGACGCCGCGGCCGCAGACCCTGCGAATCTGGCACGCCTCCTGCGGGGCCACGGCCGCATCACGAAGGCACTCGTGATCGGGGGCTCCCCGCGCCAGGGCTTCACGGTGCTGAACGTGGCCCGCGAGGGGGGCGCGGGCCCGAGGTCGCAGCTGGTGGGCCACATGTGGAGGCTCATCGAGGGGCTGAGGCGCGAGCTGCCCGAGGCCACGGTGGACTTCCTCGGGGAGAACGTGGCGTCCATGGCGGAGGACGAGGTCCTGGCCTTGAACAAGATGTTCGGCCGGGTGCTGGTGTCCCTCGACGCCGCGGACCTGGGCTGGGTCCGCCGCCCGCGGCTGCGCTGGCTGTCGTGGGACCTGCTGCCCTCCTTCGAGATGACGGCCGAGATGAAGGCGGCGGCGGATGGTGCCCGGCCGCGTGCCTGCCGGGTGCGCCTGGTGACGGAGCTGCCGCCTGTCTCGGAGTGGCTGCCGCGCAGGGCCACCTGGCCCGGGGCCGCCGAGGACGGCCGCCTGCCGGCCTTCGTGCGCTGGACGCCTCGAAGCTCGCCTCGGCCGCGGCCCGCGGGGCTCCGCAAGTGCACGGCGAAGGAGGTGGCGCGCTGGACAGCAGCGGGCTACGCAGCCCCGCCCTACCAGTTCCGGGACTGCTTCTGCCTGCGCTGGGCGGATGGGCGCAAGGAGCCGCCGCGGGCAGCGGGGCGCGAGGTGTTGAGGGGGGTTCAGGCGGGGCCACGCCGTGCCGTGCATGAGCAGCTCCGCCGCCAAGAGCGACCCCGAGCGCTTCGAGGCCCTGCGGCGGTCGCTCGTGGGCAACTCCTTCCAGTGCGAAGTCGTGGCCTGACTGCTGAGCCACTGGGCGGTGCACCACGCGCTGCTGGTGGCGGTGCCGTCCCTGCGGAGCCTCCACGAGAGCTCGAGGAGCTGGTCGATGGGCCGCAAGCTGTGGGCCGGCGACGTGGAGACGCTGCGGTGTGGGCGCGAGGCCGTGTGCGAGGAGAACCTGCACCTGCTGGTGGCGGCTGGCCGCGTGCCTGCGGCTGGCGACGTGCAGCTGCCGCGGGCCGTCTACGTCGGCCGCGGGTCGCGCCGCTGGGGGCTCGCCCCCTCCAAGTGGGGGGGCCCGTGCCCTGTGGTGCCGGGGCGGGCGGCCGGCGACGCCGTGGCGCTGTTCGCGGGCTGGTTGCGCTCCCAGCCCAAGCTCCTGGACCAGCTGGGAGAGCTGGAAGGGGCTCGGCTGCTCTGCCACTGCCCCTCGGGCCAGGCCTGCCACGCGGACGTGCTGCTGGCCGAGCTGGAGCAGCGTGGCAAGGGGTGCACGCGGCCTTCCTGGAGAACCAGAGGGTGGTGGCCTCGCTGGTGATGACGTGCCACCACTCAGGCGCTGACCTTCGAGTGGATACCGATGCAGTGACGCATGGCAAGATGTTCCCACGGCAAGAGATCGATGCTGGCAGTTGGAAGTGGAAGGTCGCACGCCAGCTCGTTTGGCAGGACCAAGCCAAGCACATCAATGCGTTAGAGTGCGAGGCTGCGCTGATGGCCCTGCGTTGGCGGGCCCGCTCAGTCTCGCGGCAGATGTGCGTCTTCCCCCACCTGCTCGACAGCATGGTGAATATCGGTGTTCTTGCCAAGCGCCGATCTTCGAGCCAGCAGCTCAACAAAGTAGTGCGCGCCTTTTCCATCCTCGAGCTGGCGCTCGGATCGCGGGCTGTCTTTGCCTTCACCTCATCGGCAAAGAACCCTGCGGATGCGCCATCCCGCTTGCCTAATGGGTAGGAGGCGCACTTCGCCAGAGGAGAGGCGCGCTGCCCGAGCTGCTCTCGGCCGTCTGGCCGACGCGCGCGTGAACATTAGAACGCGCAACAAGTGCCAGCGCGCATGCCAGCAGTTTGTCGAGTTTTTGAGTGCTACGCATCTCTCTTTGCCAGTCACGTGGGACGAAATGGACCTCTGCCTTCAAGATTACCTGGAGTATCTCTGGAGCATCGGTGCCTCGAAGGGGCAAGCGAACGACGCTTTGTCAGGAGTGCAGCATTTCCTGCGCTCGCGCCGCCAGTATCCTGGAGCTTGGCGCCTCCTCTCGGTGTGGTCACGCCTCGAGGTGCCGAGCCGCGCGCCTCCAACGCCTGCTCGAGTCGCCGCCGCGATGGCGGGCTGGGCGCTCGAGCACAATGAGTTCGCCCTGGCTGAGTCTCCCTTGGACCAAAACAGCTGCCCAGAAAGGCGCCCGGGAGACCGTCGCCATCGACGATCCCTACATAGGGACCAGGGTTCACCGCGCGCTGTCGCTGGACCCTGCCGGCAAACTTTGGAGCGGCACGCTCCCGTCTTTCCGCGCCGCGTTTAAGCGTGCTGCTGCAGGCGCGGGCTGTCGCCACGCTCGCCTCACTCCTTACAGTCTGCGTCGAGGCGGGGCCACGCGCGAATATCTATCGCCAAAGAATCTTGAGCGCGTCATGTTTCGTGGGCGATGGAGCTCCATCAGGACAGCCAAGATATATATATATACATACATATATAGAAGACGGGGCCGCCATCCTTGCCGAAAGGCAGTTCAGAGGCGAAACTCAGAGATGGATCGGTCATTACTCGTCCTCTTTTGTCGATCGGACCAGAGAGGAATTCGGCTGAATAGCCAGGGCGGGGCGGGTGGAAAGGATCGAGCTGTGGCCTCGACTCCCTCTGATCGCTGCCCGGAACGCCGCTGTGCCGACCATTCTTGGGTCGACCGTCTGGGCCCCTGGCCGAGCGCGATGAGGCGCGGAGAGGAGTCGAGGCCCCCTCAGATCCGAGTCAAAGTGCGATGGCCATGTTGAAAAATGACGGGGCCCTCTGGAGGCCCCCTTATCCTGTGTGCTTCCGCCTCCCCCCAACCGCACTTATATAAACGCTCGCGGTAGATAACTCGGGGGCGGGAGATCAGGGGTGCGGAGAAAACATGGCCGTTAAGAGATTGCATGGCAGTCGCTGTTGCCCGCCCGTACCCACCTTTGGCGACTGTCTCAACCTTGCTAAGATCCGCAAGGATCGAGCTGTGGCCTCGACTCCCTCTGATCGCTGCCCGGAACGCCGCTGTGCCGACCATTCTTGGGTCGACCGTCTGGGTCCCTGGTCGAGCGCGATGAGGCGCGGAGAGGAGTCGAGGCCCCCTCAGATCCAAGTCAAAGTGCGATGGCCATGTGGAAAAAATGACGGGCCCTCTGGAGGCCCCCCATATCCTGTGTGTTCCCGCAACCCCGCCTCCCCCCAACCGCACTTATATATATATATATATATACATATGTATATATGTATGTATGTATGTATATATATATATATGTGTGTACGTATTCCGTCGCGGCGCAGCAGAGGCGAATCGCTCGCGCGTCCATGCGACCTGGGCTACGGCGTACACGCACATGCACGCACGCACGTACACACATGCACACACACACACTTACGGACACGCACACTCACACATTCACATGCACACGCGCATAAACACACACACACACACACACACACACACACACACACACACACACGCATACAAAACACACACACACACACACACACACACACGCACGCACGCACGCGCACGCACGCACGCACGCACGCAAGCTCGCACGCACGCACGCACGCACGCACGCACGCACGCACGCACGTACCGACCGCTGCAACCGCGGTGGCGGACATGCTGATAGGGGTACTGGTGGAGGTTGTCGCGGTGGTTGCTTCGGTGGAGAAAGAGAAGAACCAGGTGGCATCGGTGAAGCGTGTGCTGCAGAAGTGGGCCCCGGAGGCGGACATGGACGGCGACAACCTGTTCGGCGTCAGCGAGTTCAAGAGGATGCTCAACCACGCGGGCTGTGCCAAGGATCGAAGACGAACAACAAATCATAAGCATACATTTTCGGAGGTCCGCGCCGATTTCTTGGTGTGTCTCCGGCGCCGCCCCTGGTGCGCTCCGGTGGCCCAGCGCCGATCGAACACATTTGCGCGAACCTCCGAGAGATTATGTATCTAGTGGCCTTCGGCCCATCCTGCCACCGTGCTTTGATGTTCGTTTGAATCTCGTGGGAGACTTCTCGGGGGCCTCTTGGAGGCTGTTCGGACGCCTCTTGGGCGCCGTTTGGGGCCTTCTCTGGGCCTCTGGGCTGCCTCTAGGGGCCTATTGGAGGCCTCTTGGGGGCCTCTTGGGGCCTCCTGGGCGCCGTCTTGGGGCCTCCTGGGGGCCTCTTCGGCGGAAGGCGCGGATTTTCGGTTCGTGTTGTCTCTTTGGGGCCCCTTGCGGTGCCGTCTTGGGGCCCTCCTGGGCCGTTTTGGGCGCCTTTTGGGTTGTCTTGGGGCCTTTTTGGGCCGGTTTGGGGCCCTCTTTGAGGCCTTTTGGGTTGTCTTGGGGCGTTTTGGGGAGCCTCTAGGGCAGTCTGGGAGCGTCGGGAAGCCGAAAATGCAAAAACGCCCCAATCCTCCAAAAACCTCAGGACAAGACATTATTTTGGCCTCTTGGGGTCCTCGTTCGGCGACTCGGGGCCCTTTTGGACCGTCTTGGGGGCTTCTTGGGGCCCTCTTGGCCCGCCTTGGGGCCCTCTCGGGCCCGAACAAATCATGCGACAGACCGCGCCACGCCATAAGAGATTGGGTCCGAGGAGTTCCGAGTCCTTTAGTAACTCCTCAGGAATGAGGGCTGAGGCTTAGAAGAGCAGCGATAAGGCCTGAGGACACGCCCGCTCCGTGACTAGCTGCCCGGTTGCGCGAACCTCCGAGAGGGTCTGTCTGTCTGTCTGTCTGTCTGTCTGTCTGTCTGTCTGTCTGTCTGTCTGTCTGTCTGTCTGTCTGTCTGTCTGTCTCTGTATGTATGTATGTATGTATGCATGCATGCATGCATGCATGCATGCATGCATATATGTGTTTGTTTGTTTGGTTGTATGTATGTATGTATGTATGTATGTATGTATGTGTGTATGTATGTTTGTTTGTTTGTATGTATGTATGTATGTGTGTGTATGTATGTATGTATGTATGTATGTATGTATGTATGTATGTATGTATGTATGTATGTATGTATGTGTGTATGTATGTATGCATGTATGTATGTATGTATGTATGTATGTATGGATGTATATATATGTATGTGTATATATATGTATGTATGCATTTAAACACACTTTGATATAACCAATTATGTATGTGTATATGTATACACGTATATATATAGACATATGTAGGTGAGCGGTGCCTGATGCGGTGCGACCCCCCCCCCCTGGATTGGATCGCTCATCCGGGGGGGGTTTTGTTCTGGCGGCACGGCCGGTGCGGGCTCGTACGAAAGCCCCCGGGATGCATGAAACCCGCCAGGATGCACGAACCCCCCGGGATCGCCCTTGAGGCACCGCCCGTGCGGGCCAGCATCAAACCCGCTTGGATGCGCGAGCTGTCCGCGGCTCTTCCCGTCGGAGCTGCCAGAGGAGGAGGAGGAGGAGGAGGAGGACCAGTGTAAACCCAAGACCCATCAACGATGTTGGAATAAACCCTCCCTCCGAGCACCCTCTTCATCTGCCCCTACAAGGGCTCATTTCCACTGAGGGAACTGCCTCGTTGGGAGACAACTGTTCGAAGACTCTGAAGTATGCCAACACATTGTTCTCGGGATTCCAACGCCACGGATCAACCTGACTGTTGCGTCTTGACGATCCTGAATCATGCCAGGACACTATTCACCGCGAATCAACGTGACGGTTGCACCCTCACAATCCTTAATCCCTCCAAAACACCACTTCGTGTACGTCGACCATTGGAATCCGTGAAACCATTGCCATGTTTGAAAACAACTTTGCGCGGCGTTAAGGCGAGGGCCATAGTTTGAAAACGCACCGCCCTCAATCAGTGAAACTCTTGCCTCTTGCTAATCTTTAAGACGAACGTGCGCGGCGTTGAGGCGAGACCCACATTTTTGAAAACCTCCCGCCCTCAATCCGTTCAACTCTTGCAGATTTTTACCTAACAGCGAAGGCTGATAGGTTTCTAGTGGGGTCAAAGGAGAGCATCTTGTCTCCCCAGGGGGGTCTGGGCGGATGCCGGGGGAATCCGGAGGATCCGGGGACTCCCCAGAACCCTATCCCAGGCCACATTTTCATTGCCCGGAGCCAACAAAACACCATTCCCAGGCTACATTTTGAATGCCCTGAGCCAACTGTAGGCCACTTCGTGTTCTTCGTGTTCCCAGAACACCATTCCCAGGCCACATTATGAATTCCCGGAGCCAACTGTAGGCTATTTCGTGTTCTTCGTGTTCCCAGAACACCATTCCCAGGCCACATTTTGAATGCCCGGAGCCAGCTGTAGGCCATTTCGTGTTCTTCGTGTTCCCAGAACACCATTCCCAGGCCACATTTTGAATTTCCTGGAGCCAGCTGTAGGCCACTTCGTGTTCTTCGTGTTCCCAGAACACTATTCCCAGGCCACATTTTGAATGCCCAGGGCCAACTGTAGGCCACTTCGTGTTCTTCGTGTTCCCAGAACACCATTCCCAGGCCACATTTTGAATGCCCTGAGCCAACTGTAGGCCACTTCGTGTTCTTCGTGTTCCCAGAACACCATTCCTGTACCATATTTTGATTGCCCGAAGCCAGCCGTGGGCTTCTTCGTGATTTTCGTGTTCCCAGAACGCCAGTCCTGTGCCATATTTTGAATGCCCGAGCTGAGGCAGGCTGAGGCCGAGGCAGGCTGAGGCCGAGGCAGGCTGAGGCTGAGGCTGAGGCACGAGGCAGGCTGAGGCTGAGGCTGAGGCAGGCTGAGGCTGAGGCAGGCTGAGGCTGAGGCTGAGGCTGAGGCAGGCTGAGGCTGAGGCAGGCTGAGGCTGAGGCCGAGGCTGAGGCAGGCTGAGACTGAGGCTGAGGCTGAAGCAGGCTGAGGCTGAGGCTGAGGCTGAGGCTGAGGCTGAGGCTGAGGCTGAAGCTGAGGCAGGCTGAGGCTGAGGCAGGCTGAGGCTGAGGCTGAGGCAGGCTGAGGCTGAGGCTGAAGGCTGAGGTGAGGCTGAGCAGGCTGAGGCTGAGGCTGTGGCTGAGGCTGAGGCAGGCTGAGGCAGGCTGAGGCTGAGGCTGAGGCTGAGGCTGAGGCTGAGGCTGGCTGAGGCAGCTGAGGCTGCTGAGGAGGCAGGCTGAGGCTGAGGCTGAGGCTGAGGCAGGCTGCTGAGGCAGGCTCAGGCTGAGACAGGCTGAGGCTGAGGCTGAGGCAAGCTGAGGCTGAGGCAGGCTGAGGCTCAGGCCGAGACAGGCTGAGACTGAGGCTGAGGATGAGGATGAGGCCGAGGCAGGCCGAAGCTGAGACAAGGTGCAAGGTGGGGCTGAATGGGAGGGGGGAAGAGGGGGGGGGGAGGGGGGGGAGGAGGGGAGGCCGAGGCACGCTGAGGCCGAGGCAGGCTGAGGTCGAGGCAGGCTGAGGCTGAGGCTGAGGCAAGCCGAGGCAGGCTGAGGCTGAGGCTGAGGCAGGCTGAGGCTGAGGCAGGCTGAGGCTGAGGCTGACGCAGGCTGAGGCCGAGGCAGGCTGAGGCTGAGGCTGAGGCAGGCTGAGGCTGAGGCTGATGCAGGCTGAGGCTGAGGCTGAGGCAAGCCGAGTAAGCATTCCTATGGATTCCTAAGGATGCCTAAGGATGCCTTAGGAATCCATAGGAATCCTTAGGATTCCATTGGATCCTAAGGCCGTTGCCACTGCGACTGTCATTGCGAATGCGACTGCGACTGCGAGAACTGCAGAATTCTACAACTGGATTCTCACCTGAATCTTAAGGGGAATGCTTCCAGATATGCTTCTACACATCGCTGTTAGGTTCCTTTGCCAGGATCATGAAAACGAATGTGCGCGGCGCTAAGGCGAAAACCACAATTTGAACACCGCCCGCCCTCAATCCGCTAAAGTCTTGGATATTTTGAAAACGAATGTGCGCGGCGTGTCGGCGAGATCCACATTTTGCAAACCACCCGCTTCCAATTTGAAAAACTGTGACAATGTTTTAAGCTTCAGGGTCATCAATGGTGAGGAAGTCTCAAGCGGAACGCCCGGCCCGCCCTTTCGACCGGTCTCGGGGTGCGACAGGGAGGAGTTATCTTTAAGGAAAAGGATTGGAGGAGGAGACGGAGGTGCAGCGCGAGGCGGACAAATCCTGACCCCGCCCGGACGCGAGACAGGACTCAGAGCCGCAGGCTGTGGGCAGCCCATGCGCACTTCTCCTCTTCGTTCACGTTTTTCGCAACTTGCCACCCACCCCACGCCCACGTCCCATAGACCCACCCATTCCCACGGGGGGGGGGGGGGGCGGGGTCCGGTTCGTGGGCGGCCCACAGTGCGCCCTGTGCGAACCCCCCTGGGAAAGGGGCAGGGGGTGGGGGGTCCAGGTCGTCGGCGGCACCTGGTGCGACCGGTACGAAGCCCCCTGGGAGGGGGGGGTGTTCGTGCCACGGGGCACCGCTCGCATATGTTCAGCCATTCTTGTCTCAAGGACCTGAACGACGTGGGGGTGGACGCCGTCGCGCTGATCGACCACGCGGACTTCGTGTACCGCAACAAGACGGAGCTCACGTTCGCCGAGCTGCTCGCGGTAGTCCTCGGGCTGCGCGGCAGGAACGACCCGAAGGTGCAGGACCTCGTGCAGTTGCGCAAGTTCCTGCACGTGGAGATGCTGCGCATCGAGATGTCCCTGGAGATCGGGGGAGGGAGAATACATTCTAGGCCTCCCAGATGGGGTCCGGGTAGATGGGGTCGGAGGATCGCTTCGCATCGCCGATGCATTGGCGATGCGGCTCGATGCGGAGCCTGATTTGCGCCGCGCTGGCGCCGCCGATGCGTCGCTGATGCATCGGTGATGCATCGCTGACGCATCGGGGATGTATCGACCATGCGACGCGATCCTCCGACCCCATCTACCCAGGGCCCATCTAAGAGGCCTCTAGATACACAGTCAACCCGCATGGTAAGGATGAGCGATTTTCCAAGGTTGCCCTTGCAGCCTTCCCCGTCGGCCCATCTTTCGCTGGCCAACCTCGTCCGACATCCGCCAACATCGTAGGGGGCGCTCATGGTGTGCACCTTGGAAGGATTAACCAGGCTGTCCGGGGGGGTGTCCGAGGATTTGTTTTAATCAGATGTTTTTCCATGGAACATACAGTATCGATCGAAAAACGTTAATACGGCCCTTCAAGGCCCTTGCATCCTTACAGTCGCGGCGCTGAAGGAGGAACCCTTTTCGTTAGGGATGGGGTTCCGTGTTCCTTAATTGTTTCGCAGCTTGCCGCAGGTTTCCCCCTCAGGTTCTTCCGATGGGCAATCAACGTTTAACTTATGTAACAAGGGGCCTCGTTCCTTATTTAGGGTTCCTTGGGTCAACGCCCCGACTGTACCGCGAATCCTCGTTATACGGGTTGATTGCACTTCATGTTTGCAGGAGGGTGGAGGAGGAGGAGGAGGCGGAGGAGAAGGAGGAGGAGGAGGAGGAGGAGGAGGAGGAAGAGGAGGAGTGAGGAGGAGCGAGGAGGAGCGTGGAGGAGGAGGAGGAGGAGGAGGAGGAGGAGGAGGAGCGTGGAGGAGGAGCGAGGAGGAGGAGCGTGGAGGAGGAGCGAGGAGGAGGAGGAGGAGGAGCATGGAAGGAAGGTTCGTCCACGCACGGAGGGGGCTAGGGGGAGAGGAGAAGGGCTCTTGGAAGCACCCCCTGCTTCTTGGAAGGCGCGGGCCCTCCCAAGAAGCAGCCTGCCTCTTAGAGGCCTTCCCCCCCCCCCCCTCCCCCTTTCTGCGCGCCGCCAAGAGATGCCGAAGCTCGAAGAAGAATGCGAATAATCAGCGGACGAACAAGCCAACGGCACAAACAAAACAATCCTCTGATACCCGCGTGAATTCATTTGATCTGCGCGGGGGAGCCCTGACGGCGCCTCTGGCGCCGCCCCTGGCGCGCGGAGTGCGCCAGGGAGGGGGTCCAGCGCCGGTCCAAGAAGTCTGCGCTGACCTCCGACAGGTTATGTCCAAAGGCACCAGTATCATTGCTCCTCCTGGAGGGAGCCTTCGTCGCCACGGCTGGATTCTCCACGAAGTTCTTGTCGTGGCACACCCCGGGAGAGGAGCTCGGGAGATCAGGGGCAAGGACAGATGGGGAAGACTTCAGGTGAGCGACGCAAAAAAGGGGGTCGTCTGCGCCGACATTGGCGCGTAAGCTGCCCGCGTAAGGTCGCGCGTAAGCGCCCTCGTTTCAAATATGGCGCGCCGCGCCAGCGGCCCGAGGAAGCCACCGCGTAGGGTCGCTACGCCATCTTGTGTAAGACCCGTTCTCGATCGTCGCTCAGATGGGGGAATGCTTCAGGTGGGAGCGCATCGGCCCGAATCGCGCACTCATCGCCGGCAGGGGCCTGAGCCCACCCCGCCCAGAACGGGCGGCTTCGCAATCGAGGCGTCGTCGCCGATCTGTCGGCGACGTGCATGCCCTCCCCCCCCCTGAGCCAGTACCCCCCTGAGCCAAGAGGAGGAGGAGGAGGAGGAGGAGGAGGAGGGAGGGAGGAGGAGGAGGAGGAGGAGGAGGAGGTTTTTTTTGCTGCAAGAACGATGCCTGGCGGTCCCCGCCCCAGCTCGCCATATGTGAGACGGATGGGCGGGCACTCCACCTCGGGGTGCCATCCCGCCCCTCCCAGATCAGTCCATCAGGCGCTCCCAGAACGCCGCGCACTCCACCTGTACCAGGGAGCGCGGCTCTGCATCCAGGGAGACCTTTACTGCATAAGGATTTTTGCCTCGGCGCAGGAGCGAGAGACGGTACTCTGCAGTGGGGTTCGCGGGGGCCCCCACGCAGGCAGCCAAGAGCTTGCACCCTCTCTCGCTCGAGAACACACCGCACCGATCGCAGAAAGTATACTGGCCCGCGCGGTGCAATTCGTGCCCCAAGGCCGCACCGCGGAGGGCTGGAGAGATGACACCTTCCCCAACCCCCCGCCCCAACTCAACGCCCCACCGACGATCCACCCTCATCTTGCCCTGGCAGGGCCTGCGCGCCAACGCGCGCCTGGTCTTGCAAGAGAAAGCCTTTCGCCCGCACGTCGAGCAACGCCACGCCCCCCTCCTCCAGAGTAGGACATGGGCGCGGGCCCCTTCGGGCGGCCCTTGCCGCCGTCGGCGGCCCTTGCCGCCGTCGGCGGGCTCCGCTGGAGCCCGCGGCAGGCCTCCCCGTGGAATCCCCGAAATCCGCCGTACGCCCCGTCACCCCCGCCACCAGAGTCAACACCGCCTGGACCTCCGCAGAACGGTTGGCCCAGGTCTGGGCCTTCCACGGGGGGACCTCCTGCATGTCGGCCCCAATGCGGGCCTCACAGTCTGCCAATTGATTCCCTTGAAGATCAAGAAAGCTCTCGTGCGAGTCATCCTTTGGCCCGCTAGCATGGGCTTTCACCTTGACGGCCTGGAAATCGCCCTCCTGACTGAAACTGTCCTGGATCTGGGCCCAGATTCTACCCCAGAGGTCGGCGTGTGGTCTCCTAGGGCTGCAGCACCAGCTGGGGCCTCTACGGAGGCCTCGAATGACTGAACTGTTGTCTACCCCTACCCTCAGAGGCGGGTGGGCGCTATTCAGCAACTTGAGCAGTCCATACAGCTCAGCACGCAGGACGGAGGCTAGGCTACGCAGCCCTGGGAGGGTCCCCCGCATGGCCTTAACAGCCCCCCCGTCCTGGTCCAGGAAAACGTAGCCCCAACCGAAACTCTTTAGCCCTGGTGGGCCTCTGGCCGATCCGTCGGAGTAGGCCCACCCTGAGACCAGCGGGGGATTTACAAAATCGGGGTTCTCCTCCTCCAGGGCCGGAATCCAATCCGACTGCGGGTCCTCCAGGGGGTGCTCGTGAAGCCCACGGGAGAAAAGGAGGGAGTCCGAGGTGGAGGATTCCGCACGATGCACAATCCCTTCCTTGGAGGCCCTCATCCTCGGCTACTGCGGCTCTCGCTGCTCCTCTATCTGGGCAGCAAAGAAAACGATGGTGCTGGCATCCGACTTCAGCGCCGCAGGCTTGACAGGACCTGTCGTCCCCGAAACCCGCGCGCCAGACCTTGTCCTGGGTCCAGAAGTCGCGGCCCATGTAGGCCAGGATAGCCGATCGCCTCTGCGGCGATCGGTTAGCCTTCCGTCGAAGGAGAGCCCTAATAGGCTCGAGGAAGGGGCGGGTGATCCCGAGGTCCCTGGAAGCCGCCCAGGAGGTCATCACCGCACATTCTAAGCGGGACCAGATCAGCTTCTTGAGACACTGCGGTGCTGCCCTGCGCAACTCCCACTGCTGCCCGAGATGGTCGGAGAAAACATGATAGGCAGGCCACGTCCACGAGAGGAGTCTGAGTGTGGCCCAGACGGCTGAAGCGGGTCCTTTTATCTGCCTCCAGGGGTTACTCCCAGGCTTGGCGGCAGCGGCCGCCGCGACAGCTCTGCGCCACCCAGCAGCCATGATATCCTCATGGCTGCCAGCAAAGATAGCCTCCGCCCGTTTGAGCAGCGGCTTCGTGCAGGCATCGACCAGGGGGTCGCAGCGCAGCGTCCACAGGCGGAGCAGTCGGTCCTTACCGATTGCGTTGCCTCCCAGCGCCGAGGCCATGAGCGCCCTTGCTCGGGTGAGCCGCGTCGGGTCCATCCCTAGGCAGACCGCCCCATGCAGCACAGAAGGGAGAAATCCCATGCGCGCAACTTGAAATGTGCGCGCGCCCTGCTTGCCGAGGCTTGACAACTTACTTCTACGCCGCCTAGCGCTCCCCATCCTGGCATCGCCTCTGGTGCGCAGCGCCACAACTCCTCCTCCCGCCGAGTCGACTCCGAGCTGCGTGCTACTGGTCTGGACCTCCGGTCCAAGGCTGCGGGCCCAACCTTTGATGCGGGCTCTCAGGGAGCGCTGCGCTGTCAGGATGAACCCTTTGCCCGTTGGCTTGTCTGGTCGGACCCTGGAGACTGGGATCCCACGGGCCTCCATCTCTTCTATGTACTGGGTTGTGGCCGCATGCATCGAGGCCGAGACGTCTGCCTCCGCACCTCGGGCCTGAATGCTTAAATCATCGACAAAAAGCTTCATCGGCATGGCGGGGTGCTCCTGCGCCAACCCGTCTACGACTGACAAGATGGCTAGCTTGAGGCATCTCGTGCCCCCGCTGCTACCCGCAATGACCGCTGAGAATGTGGTGGTCGAATGCACAGACACCACGCCGCGGAAGAAAACAAAGCGCCTGGCCGTGTAAATCGATAGTAAAAGCTTCAAAAGCTGCAACCGAAACTTGTGCTTGGGCGCCTCGGCCCAAAGCAAGTACATTGTGACATGCTCGAACGCCTTCTCAAGGTCTAGGACCGCCGTAGCCGTTACCTCGCCAGGCTGGGCCCCTTCGTCGAACAACATTTGCTGCCAAATCGCTTCCTCTGAGCCCCCTCCTGGCGCCGCGAAGTCGTAGCCTCGTCGAATCTCCCGCTCCCAGTCATGGAGCTGATGCGAATGCGCGCGCTCCACCAGCCGCGCGGCCGTGGTGAGGAGGCCGATGGGCCTAGTCCCCCCACCCTGCTTGGCCAGCAGGAAGTACATCACGTAGCGCAGCTGGGGAGGCCACCTGGCTGTGCGCGACACGTATGCGACGAAGGCTGCCAGGAAGTCCAGCCCTTCGTCCCCCAAGCTGACGAACCACCTGGGGTGCCAGTTGTCGACCCCGACCCCCGTGTGCTCTGGGAAGGCCTTGCATATGGACCTGATGTCGTCCGCCGTCGGCTCGACCATGCTATGCTCGAAAGTGGCCGATTCCCAGGGGCGTGGGAGCTCGCCTCGGCTCTGGGCTCCGTGAGAGTTCCAGAGGTCGATCCACTTCAGCGCCTCCAGGTCGACCGCAGCCTGAGGGCACGTCATGTCCAGGTTTGTGTGCCCTCGGGCTCCCAGCGTAGGGTCGACCCCCTGGCGCCACTTCGACATGCGATGGACGAAGCCTGCTCCTCCTTGTGAGCCGTCCTTAAGCCTCTGGCGCCACGCCTTGGCCCTCTGGTCTCGAAGTCCCTGCTCGATGACGTGGGCCTGCTGCGTGGCCCGACGCTGCAGCTCCATCGCCCTGGGGGCATCCTCCCAGAGCGCGTCGCCGTCCCAGGTGAGGTCGCCCAGTGCGAGGAGCTCGGCGTACACCGCCTTGGCGTCGTCCCCCAACGCGCCGCACCAGCGGGCTGCCCCGTGGTGGAGGCGCCTGCGCAGGCGCCGCCACTGGTCGGCGTACGGCTGCCAGTCGTGCCTCTGACGGGCAGCCTGCGCCAGCCAGACGATGTCCCCGACGCGGCTGGCCACCCAGCGCCATGCCCTGGAGCGCGTAGTGCCCCTGGGCCTCGCATGCGCCTCTGGGCCTGCAATCGGGGCTCTGGCCCAGCGGGGGTGACCCCCCCTGCCCGTGTAGTCGACCTCGCCAACGAGGTCGTGGATGCCCTGCAAGTCGCGCTCGGCCGCCGCCGAGAACCTCGCCCACAGCTCCTCCAGCTCGGCGTCGCTGTAGTTTGCTCCACTGTCGAGGATTGGCCATGCTGGCGGCTCCCGCCGACAGCCCACGGGGAGGCGAGTCGGGAATGCCCGAGGCTTGACCAGCCTCCAGCCTAGCCGCTCCCGCAGCGACCTCTCAGTCGTGATGGCGACGGGGCTGCGCGGGGCGGTGGACGCGTCGAGCACCTCCGCTGCACCAAAGGCTGACGCGATACGCGTGTCCACCACGAAGTAGTCGATGACCCTTCCGCCCCCCTTGCCCTGGCAGGTGGGATCGGACGAGGAGAAGATGGTGCCCCCAACGTCGGCCACCCACCCCGTGGCCGTGAGCGTGTCTGGGATGTTGTTGAAGTCCGCCTGGAGGACCCATGGGATGTCGTAGGCCCTTACGAGCTCGCTAATGGCGTCCAAAATGGACAGGTTGCGGACGGTCCAGCCCTCGGAGACCCAGAAGTAAGCGCTGAGGACCATGAGGCCTCCTCGAAGAAACCCAGGAGTCCAGGCCGCCGCCAGCCTTCCTGGCGATCCTGGCGGCGAGAAGTCGAAGGTGCCCACGCCTTCGAGGTAGGTGAGGCCCACGCAGCGTGGGGCGACGATCCCCACCCCAGCCACCCTGCCGCCCCCTGGCCCCACCGCTGCGGGTGCGAGGGCGACGGTGAGGTGCCTCTGGAAACAGCTGGCACTAATCTCGCCGACGTAGTCACTGGTGAGGCGATGCTCCTGCACCAACATGATGGTGTTCCTGCCCAGCGGCATCTCGTCCAGGTGGTCGATGAGGGTGCCCCAGGCGCTGCCGTTGAGGCCTCTGAGCACCATGCCAGGCTTGGCTTGGCGCCCCTTGCCTCGCGATCTGGGCCTCCAGCGTTCCTCTCCCCAGCTGGGCTGCTTCGGCCACCCCCCCGTCGGGGGAGCCGAGCTGGGGGCGCTCGTGTCGAGAGGCGTCGACCACCCGCACGTCTGCGGCTCTCGGTTCCACGAGCACATCGCTGGTGGCATCGACCACCCGCCTGTCGGCGGCACCAGCGAGAGGGGCGCATGGGGAGAGGCTTCGGCCACCCGCGCATCCGCGGCTCTCCACTCCTGCGCCACTGGGGCCTCTTCCGAGGCGGTTGCGGCCATGCTCGAGGCTGAGCTGAGGCCCATGTCGGGCTTTGCCTTGCGCCCCTTGCCTCGCGGTCGGGAGTCCCAGTATTCCTCTCCCCAGCTGGGCTGCGTCGGCCACCCCCCCGTCGGGGGAGCCGAGCTGGGGGCGCTCGTGTCGAGAGGCTTCGACCACCCGCACGTCTGCGGCTCTCCGTTCCACGAGCTCATCGCTGAAGGCTTCGACCACCCGCCTGTCGGCGGCATCAGCGAGAGGGACGCATGCGGAGAGGCATCGACCACCCGCGCATCCGCGGCTCTCCTATCATGCGTCATTGGGTCCTCCTCCGAGGCCTCAGTAGCCGTAGTCGAGGCTGAGCTGACACCCATGCCAGGCTTGGAGCGCCACCCTCTGCCCCGTGTCCGAGGCCTCCAGTAGTCCTCTCCCCAGCTGGGCTGCATCGGCCACCCCCTCGTCAGGGGAGCCGAGCTGGGGGCGCTCGCGCAGAGAGGCGTCGACCACCCGCACGTCTGCGGCTCTCTGTCCCACGAGCTCATCGCTGATGGCTTCGACCACCCGCCTGTCGGCGGCATCAGCGAGAGGGGCGCATGGGGAGAGGCTTCGGCCACCCGCACATCTGCGGCTCTCCCCCCCTGCGCCTCTGGGGCCTCTTCCGCGGCGTCCGTGGCTGTGCTCGAGGCTGAGCTGCCGCCCCGCCGTCGGAGCCACGGCGCGAGCTGCTGGCGGCGGAGCGCGTCCGCTCCCCTGAGCGCCCTCCGTGCCCAGGTACTCGAGGAGGAGCTGTCGCCGTCCCCGTCCAGGATGTCTAGGCCCTCCTCTATGGCTGGGACGTGGACGCACGTCCCCACGATGAAGGCGACCCGCTTTGGCCCAGGCTGCCAGCGCCTGCCCGCCCTTCGGGGCAGCTCCTTCTGGTCGGGCGCAGGAGGCGCCCCCCTTGTAGTGGTAGTGCTCGTAGAGGTAGCGGGGGCCTCCACGACCCCGTCGACGTCGTGAGGAAAGGCTGGTGCTCCTCGCCCTCGCGCGGCCGCCTTGCCCCGACCGCGGCGTGGGCGCTGGCGCCACCGTCGCCAGCCTTGCGACGCTGGTCCCTCAGTCGCTGGAGTCTGTGTCCGCCCCTCGGGGTTTTGCTGCAGCCCGCTCCAGGATCCTGGCTCGGGTTCCCTGTGCCAACTCGCGCTTGGGAGCCCTGCCCGTGGCTCCCGCAGGAGCAGTGGCGCCTGCCGCGCCGCCTCCGCTGGCTGCAGCAGCGCCACGAGCACCGTCAGCGCCAGCAGGGGGGGTGTTAGGCCCCGCTGTGGGGGCTGCCTTGGCCGCGGCCGCCCCTGGCTGCTTGTAGTCTGCGCCACCTTTGCCTGCTGCCTTGCTTGCTGGCGCCGCTGCGGCGGGAGCTGCGGCGGCCTCTGGCGGGGGGGGGGCCCGACCGAGCCCTCTTGCTCCTGAGCCTGTCGCTGAAGGTCTGGAGGTCCTCTCGCATTGCGGCGAGCCCCTCCGCCGTTGGGCCGAAGTGCCTCTTGACCTCCGTCTGGACCTGCTTGACGAATTGGCCCATCTGCTCCTGGAACTGGCGGTGCTCCTCTGGCGGGATGTCGAACCCCTCGAGGTCGAAGGCCTTGCCCGGCCGCACGCTGAGGAGGTCCAGGTCGCCCTCGAGCAGCTGCGAGAGGTCCAGGGCTGGCGTGGGCGCCTCGGCTGGCGCGACGGCCTTGGGCGCCGCTCTGGCGTAGGCCTCCTGGACCCCCGCCTCCGCGTCGGCGATCTCGAGGATCCAGTTCTCCCGCAGCTCCTTCTGGTCCTGCAGAAATCGCTCGCCCTCGGAGATGTTGTCGATGGTCCTCTTGAGCCCTGCCTCGGCCCTGCGGAGCCGCGCCTGGGCCTGGTTGAGGGCAACGTCTGGGTGCACCTCTGGAGTGTGCACTCGGGCGAGCGCCTCGAGGTGCTGGGCGGCCTCTGCGTCGCCGTCGGGGATGGTGGCCCGCAGCTGCTTGAGGAGCTCCTCGCGGTTCTGCTTGGCCGATGGGCGACTGCGGCCCCGCGAAGAGGCGCTGGGGCCCCAGGTGCCCTGCGAGGCTCGCTCTTGAGAGGTGGCTGGCTGCATCCCCCTCTGGCACTTGTAGCACTCAGACCTGTTGCCCCAGTTCCACTTATACCCACATCCCCTGCACTTTTCGTACTGGCTTCCAGTCCGCTGATCATCCTTCTCATTGCGCCCCATGCGCCCCTGAAGAACTGATCTCCTGCCCAACCAGTACGATACAGGAGCTCCTCGGAGCGTATACAAAATGTGAGGGCGCCTGCCTTGCCCAGCAGGCCCCCGATGCGCGGGCCGAGCCTGCTGGGCAGGCTCCTGGTCTCTGCAAACCACCTCGAGAAATGGTTTACTTGAGCCAAAATGGCTACGGAGAAGAGAAGGAGGAGGAGGGGGAGGAGGAGGAGGAGGAGGAGGAGGAGGAGGAGGAGGAGGAGGAGGAGGAGCGGAGGGGAGGAGAAGGAGGAGGAGGAGGAGAGGAGGAGGAGGAGGAGGGAAGAGGAAGGAGGAGGAGGAAGAGGACGAGGAGGAGGAGGAGGAGAAGCAGGAGGAGGAGGATGAGGAGGCGCCGCGGGGGGGGCCCGGGCCCCATCGGCGTGTTACTGTCGATGTGCGTTGTCTTGTTCGGACGAATCACGAAGAAGTAGCACGCCGACAATGGCACCGGGAGCCCCCACGGCGGTGTGCGTGACATCGATGCGCTTTCTCCCCCCCTCCCGACCAGTCAGCCCCCGAGGAATACTTCTCCTCCTCCTCCTCCGCCTCCTCCTCCCTAGGGACCGAGGGGCATCTTGGAGGCCCCCAGGAAGCCTCACGGGACCCGAAGGAGAGCTCCAAAGAAGCCCACAGAAGAGACCCACAGGACCCCGAGAAATTGGCAAGAGAGCACCAGGAGGGCTTAAGAGATCTCCAAGAGAGCCCCAATAGACCCGAAGAGAGCCCCATGTAGTAGCCCAAGGGGGCTCCGAGAGAGGGCCAAGAGCATTATGTAGCGCTTGAGGTTGCCAGCACGGCCCCAACAGAGCCCCAAGAGGCCAAGATGAAAGGGCGTTTCCAACTCGCACAGCGACGACATAAGACTACCCTAGGACCACCCCCAGACACACAAAACCCTCGACCGCCCGTCTGAGCAAAAGTGTATTCAGACCCGTTCATTCGAGGGCGGTTGAATAGCGCAAGCACCTAGTATAATCTGATAGTCCTGCAGCCGCTCAACGCGGCAGCCGAATTCATAGCATCCCCCACCATCCCACGTTCCAAGCAGGAGGGCGTTGCGCAAGAATTCGAATGTACCTGGTAAAGGCATGGAACCCTCTCCTGTATACCCCAGCCTTTGTCACTCGCGCTGACAGTCCGCAGCGAAGATGTCAGGACTTGCGGACAGCAGAGCGAACGTTGAGCATCCTCCCCCGTAGTATTGTAGCAACGTATCACCATCACCAACCACATCATCAATCACAACACCAACATCCTAATCGCCATCGTCATCACCATTACCACCACCACCACCATTACGACCATCGCCCACCACAGTCTTCCTGTGCACCTGCTCCTTCTTTTGGATTCCGACCTCTGCTTCCGTGAGCAGCCTTCGCCGAGCGCACGGCAGGCAGACCCCTCCTGCTCGCCTCGTCCACCCACCCAGCAGGCTTCGCACATCCACCTCCACCTCCACCCTCCTGAACATGCTGCCAAGCGAGCACAGGACGCGCGAAGCCGAATGAGGGGGCCACTCGCGCCGACCAGACGAAGGGAGAGGGGCAGGAGAGCCCAGATTCGAATCGATAAGTCGGATCGGCGATCGAAATGAAACAGATCGGCGGAGATCGGCAGCCGAGTCGGGACAAGTCGAATCGGCAGAAATCTGCAGGCCAGTATGCCTTCAATGAGAAATCGGAGTCCCAGATCGAATCGAATCGGAATCGGACGCGATCGAAATCGCATCGAATCGAACAGGAGGAATCGAAACGAGCCCTGGATAGGGGGGGGTGGGGGGCTGGGGGGGGGCCTCGATCCTCTGTGGCAAGGGGGGGGGCCCGGGGGGGGGCAGGCCGAGGGCGGACGCCCCGACCGCTCGCGCTCCGCCTCCGGGTCCTCCACCTCTCGCTCTGGACCGTGCTGCCGCTGCCGCCCCCCAGCTGCCCATGCTGATGCGCCTCTCGATGTGTGTCTCTCTCTCTCGTTTTTTGTTGATTATCTCTCTCCCTCTTTCTCTCTCTCTCTCTCTCTCTTGCTCTCTCTCTCTCTCTCGTCTCTATCTTTTATACATATATATGTGTGTTTATCTATCTATCTCTCTTTATCCTTCTCTCTCTCTCTTTACATATATATGTATGTATATATATACCTATCTCTCTAGCTATGTATACGGAGTGGGAGAGAGAGACTCCTGCAATTCATCCTGCTCGCCTTCCTCCTTTTCCTTCTCCTCCTCCGCCTCCTGATCCTCCTCATCACCCTCCTTCTTCTCCTTCTCCTTCTCCCGTCGCCCACCTTCAGCCTCATCCTCCCCCACAGTTGCACGGCATGCGTCTTACGTTTTCTCCCCCCTGAAGCTGTGCTGGCTTGAGTAAGCGACCTCACCATGCTGCGCTTGTACTCACAGGACGGGTCCGAGCTGCCTTTCAACCAGCTCCCAAAACAGCGCTTGCACCAGGAATTCTCATTCACTTCCCTGCATGAACAGGACGGGTGCTCCGGGATGTCGCCGAGCTGCCGCCTCGTGGGCGCCTCGTGGGCGCCTGGTGGGCGCCCCGCGCTTGCTGGGCACGCCGAGGTGGCGCCGCGAAGGCCCCGCGCTCGGGGGGCTATGCCCGGGTGGCGCCACGCTGCCGCCTCGTGCCGCCTCGTGGGCGCCTCGTGGGCACCCCGTGCGCGGGGTGGGCGGCCCGAGGCTGCGCCACACTGCCGCTCGTGCCGCCGCCTCGTGGGCGCCCCATGCCCCGAGCTTAGCTTGCACGACATATAGCTTGCACCAGCCTACACAGCAGAGCTTGCACGGCACAGCCTGCACCACTCAGCCGGCATCACAGAGTTCACAATGATTGCCTCCAGCACACAGCACAGCGCCCAGCTTGCACGACACAGCGTACACCAGATAGGGTCCGCTTCCATAGATCAGATCCAACAGCTTAAACCACGTAGCGTTCACCACATAGCTTACACCGCATGGCGCTCACCGCCATATGTTCACTTCCACTGCAATAGCGCGTTGATTGAATCCACGGTGGCTGTGTTCGCAATCAACGTGCGTTTTGGTTTGAAAACTGGGGTTCTGGCTTGGTGCGCTCACTATATTTCATGATCACCAGACAGCCCCCGTCCAACGGAACGACGGTGTCGCCACAGCGGTGGCAGTGGTGGTTGCACCGCTCCATGCAATCAAAACGCACGCTGCTTTGGAAATGTGGTAAGCTGATTGGTGAGCTTCCCGTATTGCATGTCCACCAGGGAGCGTCAATTTACCAAAACAGCGCTGGTGCCGCAAATGTGGCAGCGGTGTTCTTGACTCCGTTGGCGATTGCATTGTTTCAAGACTCTGCGAACCGAGAGATGGCCGAAGCAATGGAAGGGATGGCGCAAGCGCGCTAGCTCGTCATGTTCCCCTCTCCCCTCCACTTGGCATGCCCGACGGATGTCCCAAACCGACAGCGGCCGATGTTGGGCAGGCGATTCTCTGTCTCAAGTGGACAACACCCGCGGCGGCGCCGACCACGAATCCGGCTCAAAACGAACAGAAGCTGCTCTTGGACTTCGTCACCACTGTTTCCGTACCCATCTCGATCGTACCGATCTTCTTTAGCATGTGCCACAGGGAAGCGGGTCCTGAGAGAAACGGGCCCTGGACCCCGGTGCCCTTCCCTAAGACGAGTTGTTCATGCTGCGCCGGTTGTCTGACAGTCCCGGGGCCCGCGGAAGGCCCCGGAGCCCGAAAACGGCGAAGAACCTCGGGACCTGTTCCCTTCGGGGCCCTCCTCCGCGCACTCCAGGCAGCCGGGCGCAGCCTCCGGGGAGCCCGCCCGCGGCGTCCTTCCAGGTCGGGGCCCTCCAGCCTCAGGCCGCTCTCCCTGGCCGCGCCGAGGAGAACCCGCACGAGCGCGTAGGCCGCGTGAGCCTGACGGGGCCACCCCCGCTCGCGCTCGCCCTGCCTCTCTCCGCGCCCCGCCTCCCGCGCCTCCCCACTTGCGCTCTCTCCTCCGCTGATCTCGTTTTCTGTCTTGCTGCCTCGTTCTTTATCCTTCTCGGAAGAAGCGCTTGGCTTTTAGTCGATGTGGGCACCGAAGTGACCCTCATGCCATCGTTCGGCGACGACCTCCCTCCTCATCCCAGCCCCTTCCTCGCCCGTAGCCGCGCCGCAGGTCCTTGGTCACGCCGCCGAGCTGCGCCCGCGCCGCGAACTGGACCGTGCCAGTTGGGCTCTGGTCAGTAGGATGGCCTAATCTGCTCTGTCCCTCGTCTGGGGAGCTCTGTCCGGCGGCGCCTCTGGCGCCGCCCCTGGCGCGCTCCGCGCGACAGGGAGGGGGGCCCAGCGCGGATCCAAGAAATCCGCGCGGAGCGCCCAAAAGTTCACATGGATGTCGTTTTCTCTTCTTCGATGATCCTCCTCCCATTTCGCGCTCATTGCCCTCTCTGTCCGCCACCCTCTCGCACTTTCAAGTTATCCGCGGGCCAGGGGCCGAGGCCGCGCCGCCGCCGCGCGCGCAGTTTCGAGCGATGGCACGCACGCGACCTCGGACGCACGAGGCCGCGTCTGCGGCACGTCTGTGACCGAGGGGCTCCGGGAGTTACGTGGCATAGCCGTGCTCCCCTTGGCGGTCGATCGCGATTGCCTGGCGCAGCGGTCGACCTCACAGTTGTCCTGCCCGATCCCAAGCCCAAGTACAGGTCCGAAGCGGTTTCGCCCGCCTCGGTCTCCCACGTGATCGTTTGATGCGGCACGACTTCACCTTGTCTTCCGATAGTTCGTTCATCGTTCCACGTGGTCGGTTTCCCTTCGTGTTTCCACGTGGCTTCGTCGATGCAGTCTGTATGTTCGGGCTCCATGTTGTCCCCATTATCTGAATATTCCTCTGCACTGCATCGTCCTTTTAGTTCGTCGCCCACTCTCTGTTTCAGGGCACATCCTGCACTACTGCATTAATACTTGCACCCTTTCGACGTTGCTTCTCTTTGTGCTCTTGCGACCCATGACACCACTTCTACCCTATTCATGCGACTCACCCCACTCTTGCGACTCGCGTAATCGGTTCAACTCTCAACGCTCAAGCTACTACGCCATGACTCTTTACGTTTGTACTTTCGTGCCCCCCGCTTCCACTAGTCCTGCCAGAACGATCAGGCAGTTACGACTACTACAACGACTGTTATAACGACTACGACTACGACTACGACTACGACTAGTACAACTACTGATACTGCTGCTGCTACTACTACTACTACTACTACGACCGACCGACCGACCGACCGACCGACCGACCGACCGACCGACCGACCGACCGACCGACCGACCGACCGACCGACTACAACTACTACGACTACGACGACACTACTACTACTACTGCTACTACTACTACTACTACTACTACTACTACTGCTACTGCTACTGCTGCTGCTGCTGCTACTACTACTACTACTACATACTACATACTACATACTACTACCTACTACTACTACTACTACTACTACTACTACTACTACTAACTACACTATACTACTAAAAAAACTACTACTACCACTACTACCACTACTAAAAAAATTACTAATACTACTACTACTACTACCCACTACTACTACTTACTACTACTACTACTACCTACTATGACTACTACTACTACTACTACTACTACTACACGACTACTACTACTACTACTACTACTAACTACCTACTACTACCACTACTACGACCACTACTACCACTACTACTACTATTAACTACTACTACTACTACTACTACTACTACTACTACTTCTTTCGACGACTACTACTACTACTACTACTACTAACTACGACGACGGCGACTAAAACTACTACTACTACTACTACGACGACGACGACTACTACTACTACTATGCTACTACTACTACCTCAGGGTACGACTACGACTACGGGTAGACAAACAACAACTAACTACTACTACTACCACTACTACTACTACTACGATTACAACTACTACTACTACTACTACTACTACTACCACTACTACTACTACTACTACTACTACTACTACTACACTACTACTACTTACTACTACTACTACTACTACTACCTACTACTACTACTACTACTACTACTACTACTACGACTACTACTACTACGACTACTACTACTTCTTCTACTACTACTACTACTACTACGACTACGACTACTACGACTACTACTGAAATCAAAAACTACGACTACGACTACGACTACGAATACGACTGCGAGTACTAGTACCACTGCTTCTACTACTACAACTACTACTACTACTACTACTACTACTACTACTACTACTACTACGACTACTACTACTACCACTACTACTACTACTACGATTACAACTACTACTACTACTACTACTACTACTACTACTACTACTACTACTACTACTATAACTACTGCAACTACGACTACTATTACTCCTGCAACTGCTACCTTTACTACTACTGCTGCTACTTCGAATACAACTACAACCACTACTACTGCAACTAAAAATACTACGACTACGACTACTGCTACTACTACTACTACTACTACTACTACTACTACTACTACTACTACTACTATTCCTACTACTACTACTACTACTACTACTACTACTACTACTACTACTGCAACAACAACTACAACTACTACTACTACTACTACGACGACGACGACGACGACGACGACTACTACTATTGCACGTGCTTCTTACATGCTGCCGCACACTTACTCTGTCCAGCTGCCTCCGCCAATTCCGCCACCGTGCCATCAAGGCATTTTGGTTGGCGTCGATTCGATAAGGCAAGGAAATTTCCCGGGGGCCTCTTTGGGCAGAAGGCCCGGAATCTTTTTAATAACTAGCGCAAGAGCAACAGTAAGACTCGGACTGTCCAGGCTGATCAGTCTTAGTCTGGAATGCTGAGTTCACCCGCTGAAGAACTATGCCTTTGTACGCGACCATCCGGCACCCAACAAAGTCGCCGTGCGGAGCATCAAAAGAAGTAGCGCCGCAGGTGCCATCGAATCTACCATGAATGGAAAATCATTGCAAGGTAATCGGGCGAGACTGCAGCCCATGGTTCGCATGATAACACATCTAACCTTTAGTACAATGCTCCGTGGGACAACCATTCAAGATCGTTTCCCATTCGTGCATTGTGTTGACTGCACCCTGATCTTCCTGGTGTTCCTGAACACGAACGGCGGTGACATCAATATCCCCATTAGCAGGGTATGGTATGTTGCCACTCATGCTCATCCACTGCTTGCTCTCGCACCAGTCAACCACGGCTCTGCGCGAGGTTGTTCGATATTGCAATAAGTTCGGACCACTGGGGCGCCAACAACACATCAGCATATCCCATCAACACTGCTTCCAATATTACCGTGTGTTAGAGGTCAGCACATGCCTCATCATCAGAATGGCCAATGCGCACACCCTACTTATCTTGGAGCCAACTCCCACTAGTGAAAAAAGGAAACGCGCGAAACAAATGTGTGGAACTCCTCCCATGCAGAATGCGTGTCACATGCAACAAAGATTATGCTTTGATTCGCGCTGACTTCGAGTATCTCCGTTGCGCTCCGATCAACTGCCTGAGACACGCACCTGAAAACTGCCTGCCTGGAAATGTTGGGAAACCGATTGTCCTGGACGGCAGCCTTTTCTCCGTTGCCGAGCCGCATATGCACGCCAATCACAGCGGCCCCGTCGCCATGAAGTCCTTCCGAAGAAAACGCGCAGCAATGCTGCCCAGAGGGGAATAGTTGAAACCGATCATCTGCATAGCGCAATCCCATTTTGCAACTGGGTGCTGCAGCCACTCATACTCGGGACCTCTGTACAAGCGCATGAGTTCTGAATGCACGCCCGGGTCGCGTGGTTGCTCTGGGTCGCAGTACGGCTCACTCGAAGCGTTGATCGCGCACTCGTGTGTACAAGCTCCTGGACCCATCCAATCCTTGATTTTTTCACGTATGGCCTGCTCATCTTGAACCAATGTCCATGAGTTCACCCAAACACATGATGGCCACTGAATAGTCAAGGGTTGTCCATGCATGCTCGCGCGGATCGCCTGAGCTAGGGTGCGATGGTTTCGATGTCCAAGCCCACAGCAACCATCATAATAATCGGCCCCGTGCGGGCCGCATGCTTTTGCAATGTCCTCTCGCTGATACTCAAAGATTGCATGCTTGTAATGCAACTTTGGGTCAGAGTTCGGCCATAGATGTTGAAGGGGGGCATCAGTTGCTGGCAACTTGAAATCGTACCCGGGCACTGCCATCAGGAATCGCAACGACACACCCGATGGTAACCAACATGTCGTCATAGTTGTGTGCAGACTGTGGCATGAGAAGGCACGTACGGCGAAAAGATATAGGACTTGAGGCTCGAATGCCCTGAGCCACACTGGCCACAGACGAAGGCTCGGAGCCCTGGCTCGTGTTTCCACTTCCGAGCCCTTGGCGGGGCCTACTTGGGCTCTCTTGGGCAGACTTCCGCGTTCTGGGGCTGTCTTGGAGCCCTCCTGGGCGGTCTTTGCACTCGCGTGGGGTCTCTTGAGCCGCGCCGGCCAACAGGACTTACGGAGCGCCTCGCGTCCAGCTTCCGCCGGACAGATACCTACCAGGAGAGCGATTGTACGTGCGACGGCGAAAGTCCGCTCAGCGTGGAGGTCGAACGGTTCTTCCTGAGAACTCCCCTTGCACTCCTGCCAACCACGTGAGTTGAGCAGCGGCTCCGTTCCGCCGCTCTCCGTGCACGCTCAGCTCTGAACTGACTGTCAGTGCCCATGGGGAAAAGCGAGTTCTCCTCCTGCTCGCTTTACTTCTTTCTCTCATCCTCCTCCTCGTCCTCCTCCTCCTCCTCCTGCTCCTCCTCCTCCTCCTCCTCCTCCTCCATCGTCCCCAACCCTTCTTCTATGTATGCCACCCATCCCTCCTCCCTATCCTCCATCGCCGTTCCCGCCTTCCTGCTCCCTCTTCTACACTTCCTTCCGGTTCCCAACAGCTATCTGGGAGGTCCCTGGAGGCGCCCAGAGGCTCAAGCGGGGCCAACGGCTAATAACAAGATACGGGTCACAGAGGCTCAAGAGGAGATAATTCGGATGCTTGTATGACTCAGCACAGAGAACTCTCGGGGACCCGAGGACTCTCCAACTTGTGCGTCAAGGCACGGTGGCTACTTGAATAGAGAGTTCGAAAGGGCACGAGGTTGCTTTCGTTTCGCTAGTTGTCGTTTTGTGATGGTCCGTTCACTTGTGGTCCGATTCGTTTTTGTTTATGTCAGCATATTTGATGTTAAAATGTATCATTTCGTCGTTGTGTCTCGTCCTTCTTCTTATCATACTTGTTTGTTTCGTATTGTGTTGGCCCGTTCGTAGTCGTTTCTTCCTCTGTCGTTTCGTCTGCGTTTGTTTCGTCCTCTTTCGCTTCGCTGCATCTCTCCTCACTATTGCACCCTTCTTCTCTTACCCCAGAGGTATCTGGTGGTTCCCTGTAGGCGCCTGGAGGTCAAGACGGGCCAACAGCTAATAACAATACGTTCTTTGGATACGTACAATATTCACTACAGAGAGTTCGGCGAGACCTGAGGACTCTCCGACTCATGCGTCAGGGCACGGTGGCCAGGTGATATATAGATAACTCGACAAGACATGAGGCATTGGTTGTGTGTCTTGTTCTGTTTCGCTCGTCGTCATTTTGTCCTCGTTCGTTTCGCTCGTGTCCGTTTCGTCGTCGTTCATGTCGTCCGCTTCTGTTTCGCCCCCTTTCGATACGACTTCTTTCGTTTCGTCCCGTCTTCGTTTCGTATTCATTCGTTTCGTCTTCTTTCGTTTCGCCCACTTTCGTTTCGTCCTCTGTCGTTTTGCCCTCTATCGTTTCGTCCCCTTCCGTTTCGTCGTCTTTCGTTTCGTCCACCGCCGCTTCGTCCTGTGTCCTGTTTCATCCGCTCTTAACGCGCGCGGCGCGGACCCAGCACGCGTCGAGCGGGCAAATTGAAACCGGACGAGTTGAAACTGGACGAGTTAACGCCAGGACGAATCGAAGCCCCTGGAAACGCGCGCGGGGGCGGACTGCCGCGCGTCTCGAGCGGGCGACTTGAAACTGGACGGATTGGAGCCGGACGAGTTGAAGCCGGACGGGACGAACTGAAACCAGACGGAATGAAGAGCGGACGAATTGAAGCTGGGCGAGACATAAACCGCGGACGGACGGAAACTGGACGAAATGAAGATCGGACGATTCGAACCAGACGAATCGAACCAGACGAAATGAGAATCGGACGAAATGAAGAGGAATCTTCGGTGGAGCCCACAACGGGGCCACGAAAGGTGTGAGGGTGTGCCGAGATGGGCTGGGGGTCGCTACGCGAACCCCACCCCGCCAACCCTCAGCGGCTTCGGTGTAGCTCCCGATGCGGCAGCGAAACGTGTCAACGCTATGCGTCACCCACGAGGGCTTCAGTGGAGCTCCCTATGGGGCCACGAAACGTGGGAGGTGTTCGCCGAATGGTCTGGAGGACGCTGTGCGCCCCCCCCTCCTCCAGGGGCTTCAGTGGAGCTCGATGTATGGGGCCACGAAACGTGCAAGGTGTGTGCCGACATGGGATGAGAGACGCTGTGTGGCCCAGCCCCCAAGGGGCTTCCGTGGAGCTCCCCAGCGGGCCACAAACCGTGGGAGGAGTGCCTCGAAATGGGCCGGGGGACACTATGCGACCCCACCCCCTGGAGCCCCAAACCATGTGAGGGGTGTCCTGAAAGAGGCTGGGGGACGCTATGCGACACCCCCCTGGTGGCTCTGGCGGAGCTCCCCATGGGGCCACGACATGTTCGAGGGGTGTGCCGACATGAGCTGGGGGGCGCTATGCTTGGGTCAGGCATGTCCTCCTACAGGCGGATTTTGAAGGATCAATCATAAAAAAATAGCCAACTAATAATCACAAATGGTCAAACATAGTCCAAACAAATCGCCCCCATACTATTTTCTTAATTTGTTTCCCAACCATCCTGTGGTGTTGGGTCCTCGTTTTGAAGAGACGGTGCCCCGCGTCTCTCCTTCCTCCTCCCCCTCCTCTCCCTCCTCCCTCCTCCCCCTCCTTGCCTCTGCTCTCGGCACACCTCTCACACGTTTCGTAGCCCCATAGGGAGCTCCGCCGATGGCCCCAGTGGGGGGGTCGCATGCGGTTCCCCCACCCAGGGCAGCGTTTCGTGGTGTCCCCAGAGGGAGCTCCGCCGATGGCCCCAGTGGGGGGGGGTCGCATGCGGTTCCCCCACCCAGGGCAGCGCTTCGTGTCCCCAGAGGGAGCTCCGCCGATGGCCCCAGTGGGGGGGGGGGTCGCATGCGGTTCCCGTGCCGAGGGCAGCGCTTCGTGTCCCCAGAGGGAGCTCCGCCGATGGCCCCAGTGGCGCAGTTCGCATGCGGTTCCCCCACACAGGGCAGCGTTTCGTGGCCCCATGGAGAGCTCCACCGAAGGCCCCAGTGGCGCAGTTCGCATGCGGTTCCCCCACCCGGGGCAGCGTTTCGTGGTGTCCCCAGAGGGAGCTCCGCCGATGGCCCCCATGGCGCAGTTCACATGCGGCTCCCCCACCCAGGGCAGCGTTTCGTGCCCCCATAGGGAGCTCCACCGGAGGCCCCAGTGGCGCAATTCGCATGCGGTTCCCCCGCCCAGGGCAGCGTTTCGTGGCCCCATGGGGAGCTCCACCGAAGGCCCGCCCCAGTGGCGCACTTCGCATGCGGTTCCCCCACCCAGGGCAGCGTTTCGTGGCCCCATAGGGAGCCCCACCGAAAGTGGCACCCACAACGCGTTACGAACAATTGCTTATGGTTGGGTCCTTCGCCAGGATAATTGAAAATTCATCCTGTAGAGGGACAGGCCCGACTTATCACTATGCGGTCCCCCCCCCGCCTGGAGGACTTCGGTAGAGCTCTCCCTCTGGGGCACCGCGGAAAACGTGTGAGGGGCGTGCCGACATGCGCGTGCGGAGGGCAGAGGCAGGAAGGGGCAGGAGTCAGGTCGGACATGGCCCCCATACAGGGGGATCTTGGACGAACCACAACAAAATAGCCGCCAAAAATATTCAAAAATACGCAAAAATAGTTGACAACTCGTCCCCAGACTATTTTTAACTATTTTTGAATACTCCTCCTGTAGAGGGACGTGCCCGACTTAAGGCAGGAGGGAGGAGGTGCCGCGAGGACGCAGGGGGGGCGGAGGAAGAGGAGGAGGAGGAGGAGGAGGAGGAGGGAAGAGGGAGGAGGAGGAGGAGGAGGAGGAGGAGGAGGGAGGAGGAGGAGGAGGAGGAGGAGGAGGAGGAGGGAGAGGAGGGGGAGGAGAGGGAGAGGAGGAGGAGGAGGAGGAGGAGGGGGAGGAGAAGGAGGGGGAGGGGAGGAGGAGGAGGAGGAGGGAGGAGGAGGAGGAGGAGGGGGAGGAGGAGGAGGAAGAGGAGGAGGAGGAGGTGAAGCAGGAAGAAAAAGGAAGGTCGGAGAGGCGACGCGGGGCGCTGCTGACTCCAAGCGAGGACCCGGCACCTCAGGAAGCTTGGGGATCCCTTCCGCTGGAGGTCTGGGTCCTTCTCTGGGGTAAGCCAAGGGCACCAGCACACAGCTACTCCCCAGACCTCTCCTGGGGGTGCGTTGTGACCAGGATTTCGGTGCGAATCCAGCGGTGGCGGCGAGGGCCTCCGAGGAGGCCCAAAAAGGGGAGAGCGAGGCAAAAGGGTTTAGAGGTATGGGTACCTCTTCCTCCTCTGACTCTCCTGCTGCCCCAGACATGCGACGTCCTGATCTAATCAGAACGGCGTCCCCGAAGTCCAGACCCGTTCCCAGGGGCTGGCGCGTCATTTTTGATTTTGACGGCCCTGGGGCCCCAGCGAGGGCCCCCAGAGGCTAAAAATAACGAAAAACCTGCCGTCCTGATTTCGTTTACGGCGCGATATCATGTCTGGGGCTGCTTCCCCGCCTCCCTCCGCGCAGCCTGGCTCCAGCCCGGCGGCATCGCCCCCGCGTCCCCGTCGCCCGGCTGCCAGGGGCCCTCGCGCGTCGAGAACGTGCAGGCCAGCACGCCGCCGGGCCGCAGCCAGCCGCGCTCGAAGAGCGCGCGCAGGTGGGGCGCGCGCCGCGGGAAAGCGCCTGGCGGGCGGAGGCTTCGTGGGCGGGGCACAGCTCCCCAGACATGACCGCGTCGTCTTAAGAGAAAATCTGGACGGCAGGTGTTTCTGAAGTTTCGGCCCCTGGGGGCCCTCGCCGGGCCCCGGCGCCCCCTGGGGGGGGGAGGAGGAGGAGGAGGAGGAGGAGGAGGAGGAGGAGGAGGAGGAGGAGGAGGAGGAGGAGGAGGAGGAGGAGGAGGAGGAGGAGGAGGAGGAGGAGGAGGAGGAGGAGGAGGAGGAGGAGGAGGAGGAGGAGGAGGAGGGAGGAGGAGGAGGAGGGAGGAGGAGGAGGAGGAGGAGGAGGAGGAGGAGACCGTCAAAGAACGGCTCAGGATGAGAAACCGGCCCGGGCGAAGGGGTCATGGGGGTCGCTCAGCTTCCTCGGCCCCTTCGGCCGCCGACCTCCTCCGCCATATCCAGGTCGCGCCCTCGGCGGCCGAGGAGAAAGCATCCTGCTGGTGGCGCCATGGGCTGCGCCCTCGGCCGCCGAGAATGTATCCCTATCCCAAAGATTGACACGCCCAAAGGCGATGACAATCTTAGGGGTTCGCCCTCAAAAATTCAGGGAATCCCTGAGACTGGCATCGTGATGAGGAGGTGCCCAGCCTAGGGATAGGGCCGCCGAGAAGGAAACCGTCGCGTGATGGGTGCGGCCAGTCAGTGGTCAGTCATGCAGTCAGTCAGGAGTTTCCTTCGCGAGGAAGATGTGCGGGCTACGCCCGAAATCATGACGTCGGGGGCCTGGGCATCCATACCCACGGCCTCGCGGGCGGGGCCCCCGGGCCTCGATCCCATGGGTACGGCGAGGTATTCCGCGGATGCCCCCCGCGCGGAGCGCACCTGTGCGACCGCGCATCCACGGGGTCGCGCCCTGGAATCCAGACCGCGAGGGTGTGGATATGGATATGCTCGCCGCTCCCTCGAGGCTCGAGGCCCGAAGAGCGTTTTGTTCTCCCTCTTCGGCCGCGGCAGGCCCCCGGGCCGGTCATAGAGTCGTTCAGGGGTGATGGTGGGGAAACCATGAGGTACCGATACAGCTACTCCCCGGACCTCTCCCAGAGGCGCGTTGTGGCCAGGATTCCGGAGCGAAGCCACCGGTGGCGACGAGGGCCTCCCAGGAGGCCCAAAGAGGAGAAGACGGGCGAAGGGTAGCGGTATGGGTGTATCCTCTCCTCCTCCGAGATGAGCTGGCGGTCGGGTGCTGCCAGTGTTGGCCGTGGCCCCCGAGGGACGAACATGTCCCCGAACATGCGACGTCCTGGTTTTTTCCGGTACGGCATCCCGGGAAGTCCAGACCCTTTCCCCCGAGCCGGTTTTTCGTCCTGAGCCGTTTTTTGACGGTCCCAGGGCCCTGCGAGGGCCCCCTGGGCCGAAACTGAAGAGAAACTGCCAGATTTGTTTTACGACGCGAGCATGTCTGGGTCAATACCCGTGCCCTCCCAGGACGCACGCGCTGCTGAAAGGGCCACCCTCGCCTTCTCAGCAGGCCGCCCACCTCGAACCCACCCACCCCTCGCGCCACCAACCGGTGCGTCGTCGTCGCTCTCCTCCTGCTGCCCCGTGCTGCCCTTGATGCCGTTCCTGACTTTACCTACCAGAACACCCCAACCCAACCCGAAGACCCGAATGTCGGTTGGGTGGGTACGGGCTTCACATGTTCCTGTCCATGTTCCCCGACCCCCCCCCCTGGAAATGGAGGGCAGATTGGGGCCTTCGGGTTGGGTTGGGGCGGTTTGGTGTGGTGAGCTCCGCCGCCCTCCGTGCCCTCAAGATCCCGAGTTCTCGACTCCGAGGCGGGACTCCAAGGGACGGGGCGGTCCCACGGGTCCGTTCCGCGCGTGGGGGGGGAATCCGCGCAAAGCCGCCCCGCGTCCAGAGGGGCCACGGCCGAGGAGTCCAGCCCACGAGGCCGTGGATATGGACAACAAGTCACGCTCCACTGGCAATTGAAGCTCGAACGCGCTTCCCAAGCCAGGCTACTGGGCGGTGTAGGCGAGTGCCGCCCGAGCTTAACCTTAACAGTCATCGGCTCGTGCAGCCCGAGCGCTCTGGAGGAGCACATCATCACATCATCAGCATCGTCATCAGCATCGTCATCATCATCATCATCATCATCATCATCATCATCATCATCATCATCATCATCATCATCATCATCATCATCATCATCATCATCATCATCATCAGCATCGTCATCATCGTCATCATCATCATCAGCTTCCTGCCCACGATGGCGGCCCCGGGACCCGAGGGCCGCCCTGGCAGGTCGAAACAGGAAAGAAAAACACCAGGACTGCACAGAAGCAACAAGTTCATCCGAGGTCTGGGCAAGAGGATCGGGGGCGGCTCACGCGCGGCAGCCTGGACATCAAGGGGAGGCAGCCGTGCGCGCGCAGATCCCTCGGAATTCGGCGAGACCCCTGGGATGAAGGCCGATGCCTACGCCCATCAACGACCAGAGTTCGACTGGAACACCTCCGAAAACGACCGCACGAGAGGGCCGATCTGACCCTGCACATGCGCGCGGGAATACTTGAAAGAACCGATCTGGGACGCACAGAGACATACTGATACTAGACGTCCTCCATGGAGGCGCGCGTCCGACCCGAGCATATACTAGAACGATCTTGTGGTAGATCGTTTCCCGAGCGGTGCGCCATGCTAGAAGACTCCTCGGCGCGCGCGTCACCCCGGGGGGGGCGACGCCCACATAGTATTAGCAATTTGGGGTGACGCCGACTATCAGCAAAGACCGAAGGCCGAGATGCCTTTTCTGGAGCGCCCTGCGCGGCCCCCGGAGTCAAGCGCGCCAGGTGACGGAGGCGAGACCACGAGGCCGAGCTGAGCTCCCGAGCCGCCGACATCGAAGGCGCGAGAGGGCAGTGAAGCAGAGGAGGGGCAGATGTTGTGTTGCACCTTCACAAGACCTTGCCTGTCCCGTCGCGCGCCTATATCCGCGTCGAATCTGAATCGAATCCGTGTCGAATCCATGTCGCTCTCGTCGGATCCGTGTCGAATCCGTGTCGAATCCGCGTCGATTCCACGCCAAATCCGCGTCGCGTCCGCATCGAGCCCGCGTCGGGCACAAGAAACGACACCAAGCTTTGGGGGCACAGGCGAGACCCCCCGAAGATGCAACCGCAAGAGGAGGGGCGAAGGTGACCCGAAGCGGGCGAAGCTCCGGGCCGGGGCTGGGCGGGGGCGCGGGGACGAGCACCATTCCCCAGAGAACGTCAGAGGCCTCCTGCACCGCAGCCCCGCGGCACAGGGACTGGACCGAAGGATTGCAAAAAAAAAAAAAAAAAACAAAAAAATCAGGATTGCAAAAAAAACAGGGATTGCAAAAAAACGAAGGATTGCAAAAAAACCCTGGGTTTTTTGCAATCCTGTTTGTTTTGTTTTGTAATCCTGGGTTTTTGTTTTTGCAATCCTTTTTTTTGCAAAAAAGCCGCCGCCTCAGGCCTGGCCTCGAGCCGGGCTGCTTGCGCAGCACGCCGGCCACCCGACGAGGGTCCCACCGAAGCCGGGACACGCCGCCGAGCCCCGGAGCGCGCAGAGAAGCCATCAAAGGCACAGCACTCGCCTCGACCTGAGCACTGCGTTTCCCGTTTCCGTGCTGTCTCCGCCTTCCCTCCCTCTGTCCCTGCTGCAGGTCGACATCACGATGCACACGGCCCACGAAGTCGCCAGAGCACGGCTTTGGTCGACCCGTGTCGTGTGAGCGTGCACCGCTGGAGGCCCGCGCGCATCTGTTGGCGGGGAGGCGCAGCCTTCCCGCCCCCCGCGCCCCCGGCGCCGCCCCTGCGGCGCTGCCTTCCGAGCGCGCCGGAGGGGGATTCCAGCTTCCGGCCCGAGCAACCCGCGCGGGTCTCCGAGGGCGCCAACTCCCGTGCTCTTGCTGGACGGGGCTTCTGGCAGGGGGTGGAGATGCAGAGGCGATGCGGCTGTTACTGTACTGCTTCTGGTCACGGTCGTTAGCCAGGGAGGGGGGAGCAAGGATCGGCGAGGCGTGGGCCGGGTGGGGCACGTCGGGGCGGGAGTGCGCTGCGATCGCCATAGTACGCGCGCAACCGCATGTGGGGGGGTCCACGCCCCCTGCGCACGATCGATACCGCCACCCGGGGTGAGGGGGGGGAACGAGTGACGACCGCCACGCGCCAGAGAAAAAAATACCCCAGCAAAGCACCACAATAGCAGTCAAGTTGAAGAAGCGGGTCGACGAGTAGGAGGTCGGCTATTGGGGACAGAGGTGAGAGCACGGTCATGAACACCTGGGAGTACCTGTCACAAAAGATCCGTGGCCGTCCGGAGTCCAGAACAAAAATGTAGCGTCGAGGCGAGAGCACGCCAGACCGCGCGGCCCAGGGCTCCCCGTCCCCTCCGGCGGGGCTCTCTTGAATGGCCCTTTATCCGCCACTACAGAACCGTCTAGCGCAACGCCGTGGAGGAAAAACAGCCTCTTCGGAGGGGGCTTCCAGCAGGAAGTTCTGGACGCCCGAAATGGGTACCGAAATAATGGGTACAATGCCCAACAACAACTGTTGTCCCAAACCAACAGCGGCCGCTGTTGGGCAGCGGCCTTCTGTCTCAAATGGACACAGGCCGCGGCGGCGCGGACAGCGAGTCCTGCTCAAAATGAACAGGAACTGCTGTTGGGCATCGTACCCATTCTTTCCGTGCCCATCCCATCTCGTGCGTGCAGAGAAGTGGGGATGCGGAGGCGTTGGTGGCAACTCTTGGGAGCCTGCCATACCCTCTTGTCGGCTCTCGCTCGTAGACGCTAAAATCGACGCTGATCGACGCCAGCCGACGCTAAATCGGCGCTATCCCAGCGACTCCCGGACGCCGATCGACGCGAACCGACGCCGAAGACAGCATCTCGAGGGTACGCCAGGCTCCCGTGATGCGGCTGCCGAAGGCGGCGATCCTGTGAAGTCGAGGTAGGCCAGGTCCAGCGCGACGGGCGGAGCGCCGAGCACGTAGTCCTCCACCCTGCCGGCCCACGCCCGGAATCCGCCAGCCGCCAGCACGGCAACGGCACGGCGGGCAGCGGGCAGGCGACCCGGCAGACGCGCCGCGCAGCGGACTTCTGCGCGGATTGCTGCCGCTGCAGAGCCCCGAAACGGCGAGTGAAAAACGAAGTGAATTTCCCGTGGATGTTCTTAGTCTTCAGTCCTGGCCACAGAAACAAAACAGCACGAAATTCACTTCGAAATCCGAACCGAAATTCTCCAGGACACTCCGGGCCCATCCCATTGTTTTCCAAACGAAAAACGCTCTGCGATGTTGGCAACATGACACTTGTGGAATCGATCTCGCAGGAAAAACAACGACAACATAAACCAGTCTTCAAGGGCAACCACCCCCTGAAAATAACAGCGACACCTCGGCCAAACCGGTAACCCTCCGCCTACGAAATTTTGAAAACGGCCGAAATGCGATAGACTAACCGCACGGACGCTGAATTGACGCTGATCAACGCTAGCCGACGCTAAATCGGCGCTATCTACCCCATCGACTCCCTCACGCTAAATAGACGCGAATCGACGCTGCAGACGGAACGAAGAGGGCATACCAGGCTCCCATGATCTGCGACCGAATGGTGGACGTGTGCGAGGCGGGGATTTATCCATACCCACCGCCTGGGAACCGACGTCCTGGTGCCCCAGCGGGCGGTGGCTATGGATATATCTTGGCCCCTGGGGGCCCGAAGATGTCCACATCCACCGCCTGCCGAGGTCCCCGAAGACCCTCCAGGCGGTGGTCCTGCATACACTGCCGCCTCGGAACGCGCGACCGTGAGCGGCCCCACGGGATCGCAGACTGCACCGCGGGCCCCGGAGGAGCTGGGCGAGGCGCCACGAGAGGCGGCGAGGGGCGGCGAGAGGGCCGAGGCCGCCGCGCGGGCGGCACAGCGACCCCCCGGAGAGCGCCACCGCAGGGGGCCGCGAGCAGCTCGCGAGGCACGGGAGTGCCACGAGAGGCACGGCCGACGCCGTCGGCTCCGGGGCAGGCCGCCGTCGGGCCGCAGTGGGCCACGCGCAAAGAGCGACCCCATGGGCAGGAGGGGCGCTCTGGTGCGCGGGAACTCTCGGGGCACGGGGTGGCCAGGTCCGAGCGCGCCGTCCGCCGCTGTCGCCTCGCGCTCAGCCGTCGGGGGGACCCCGAGGAGCCCGCACCAAGGGTCACTCTGGCGAAGAGTCACTCTCACATGTAGTCGGCACAAGAGAAGAAGAAGAAAACTGAAGGGGCCCCAGGACACACAAAGAAATACACACAAATCAAAGGATTCCCCATATTTCCCCATATTTTCTGGGTTTCTGTCTTCCCCCCCACTTCCCATATTTTCCCATACTTTCTGGGGAATCGAGGATTCATTGTGTCTGTGTGTTTTTGTCCCTCCTGAAAAACTGCATAAACATAAACTTTCGCCGGTCCGCGCGGATTTCGCGGATCCGCGCTGGACCCCACCCCGGGCGTGCGGGGCGCGCCAAGGGCGGCGCCACTGGCGCCGCCCGCGGGGGCCGGTCGCGGATCCAAGAAATCCGCACGGACCTCCGAGTGTTTGTGTTTATATCCTTCTTTGTGCTTCGACACAGGGAAACAGCGAAGCCATGGCAGGCCAGAGACCACGTCGACGACGCCGAATCAAAGCACATGCCCCTCGTCCACAAAAAAGTTGCGAAAATGCGGGTGGGCAAAAGGTCTGGCACGCCAAATCGTCACAACCGCCCCCCCCCCCTCCCTCCATGGCAAGCAAGAAAGCCCAACGTCGCACACGAGCTGAGGCGCGCAGGCATGGCGGCACAGGCGAAGCCTCCAGATCCGTCGTTGCGCAGGCTCTCCGCGACGGAGGGTATCAAGTTCGGAATCAGCACCTGGCGGCGAGTGGCAAGGAAAGGGCGAGCGACTGCCGCAGCCTCCTCCTGCGCTGTGGTGCAGCCGAGGGGCGGCTTCTCTGCACCCGCAGAAGCCCCGCGCTTCGCCGGTGCCCCTTGGGTCAGGCGGCCTGGTCTGTCAGCTCGCGCGCGTGCCGTTCGCCTCACGGGCCGAAGTGCTGGCGATCGCGGAGCTGGGGAGAGCAAGAGGTACCGATGCCGCCACTCCCCGGACCTCTCCTCCTCCTCCTCCTCCTCCCCCTCCTCCTCCTCCTCCTCCTCCTCCTCCTCCTCCTCCTCCTCCTCCTCCTCCTCCTCCTCCTCCTCCTCCTCTCCCGGAGCGCGTTCTGACCAAGGGTTCGAGGCGAATCTAACGTTGGCGACGAGGGCCTCCCAGGAGGCCCAAGGGGAAACGGGGCAAGGGTGGCAGTCTGGGCGCCCTTTCCTCCTCTGGGAGGCCGATCCGCCAGCCCGGAAGGAGGGGGGGCGGGGGCCGCGACGGCGAGGCGCCGCAAAGGCGCACGCGGGAGAAGCAGCGGAGAACCACCAGCGGAAGCTCCCCGAGGCAGCGTGCACTCCGCGCAGGGGGGGGAGCACGGGCGCGGACGGCCGCGGCCAGCGTGCTGCCACGGGGAGCGCCAAGAAGGGAAAAAACGAGGGCGTTTTTGCTTGGCCACGGCGGGCCTCGGCCACGAAGAGGCTCCCCCCGACCTGGGTTTTTGAGGAGCGGCCCGGGAGCCAGAACTCCTCCTGATCCCTGGGCACACCCCACGACTCCTGCAGGAACCAGAGCGAGCGCAGAGTGGTCCTGCTTTCAGCGTCGTGGCTGCAGGAGGGAAGAAAGGACACGGCGGAGAGAGCGTCGGAGGTCTGCGAGGACCTCCGAGACTTCACGCTAGTCGCTGTCTCGCTGCTCGATTGCCGTGCCACGTCGAAGAAAGACAGAGAAGGCCACTCCCGTCGGCAGCGGGTCGCGGCCCGAGGGTGTGGGTCCACGTCGAGGCGAACGAAGTCTGAATGGAGATGCCGTCGACTGTACGGAGCTCTTGGACAGGCGATCCACCCAAGGCCTCGTGGCCGACGAGGAGCCACTGATCGAAGAGTCGTGGGCCACCCCAGCCGTTGCAATGAGGGGAGCAACTTGCCAGGGTGGGGCATCAGGGGGGATAGGGGGGATGGGAGGGGAAAATGAGGGGGAAGGGAGAGGGAGACAGACGGGATGTCCAGAGCTTTACAAGCAGGCACATGGGTGCTCTGACATGTTTTCTGAAACGTCTCCAAATTTGAATAACGACGCGCTCTCTTCGTGATAACCTTGGTGTAACGACCATGATGCCTGAGGGTTCTTGAGGCACTCGTGATGCAAATGGATACTTCTGGCAATGCTACGCTTGGCGCTGGATTTACCACCCTCGATACATGATGATGCCCTTCGCACATGATCCTCCCTATTGTTATGTTGCTGCTGCTCCTTGTCCTCCTCCAAGACCTTGCACGGCGCCAGCACAAACGAAAACCGACCGAACCGACAAGGAGAACGAAACCGACCCAAGCAGCCTAGAAGAGCGCAGCGACGTGACTACAAACGACACGACAGCCGACCGAACTGAACCGACCGAACGCAGCTTGCTGCGACGAGGCCGAACCGACCGAATCGCGGTCCCCCCTCTCGTCCCTCCACCCTCCTCCCCTCCGTCGTCCTCCAGCTGCTCCTGCTCATCCGCTCGATGATCATCTGGCCAAGCACCCTTCCGCGCTGGAAGCCAGCGGCCAGCAGGACGGAAGCAGTACCAGCCTGCCCGCGCCAGCGCATCAACACTCCACGACCACAGACATGGTGTTGCGGAGTAACGGGTGTGGCGACAATGTGGGTTACTAAGAGTGCAGCTTATACTGTGAGCTGGTACTTGGTCTTCTTGGCTTCCTCGGCCTTGCTGTAAACCTTCGGCCAGAGACCCTTCTCTACTCGGTCAAAGAAATCCTCTCGAGCACTGGACCCCACACGCCTGGGAGAGAATGAGGGGGTCACGCGCGACGAATCTACCCAGAGGTTGCTCGAGGTTCAAAGGTCGAGAAGATTATTCGCCATGTTCCTTTCTAAGGAAGTCCGTGTCGAGCCCCAGGACCGTCAACAACCTTTCAGGGGCGAAGAACCGACTGGCGGGTCTGTCAGAGACGGCCATGGCCTCACGAGCGATGAGCCTGTCCATATCCATGCCCTCGTGGCCTTGACTTCGACGTGCGATCCCGTGGATGCGCGATCCCAAGGAGACGCTCCGCGCGGGGCATCTGCGCAAGACCGCCATGCATCCGTGAGGTCGCGGAAAAAGGAGTCCGGACCGCGAGGCTAGATACGGAGCCAATGCCGAGTGGGGGATGCGAGAGTGCGGGGGGGGAAAGGGAAGGACGGGATGCGTATGGGCTGCGTGGGCATGTGGGAGAAGGAGACGTGCAGCGGCAAAGGGACTGGGACGGGGAGGGACTCATGACCGGACGGGGATGGGCACCTAACCCCAGACGTCGCGGCCACTGTCATTCACCTCAGGATCACGTATAATGTCGATCACCCTGACTCGACGGAGCATCCATATCCACGACAGCGGGCCCGATAAAGCTCGGTCGACCCAAGGGCAAAGCGCTCCCCAAACCAAACGGCGAGCACCGTGCGCCTTGTGTGCAAATCGTCGCTTCAACTCATCTCCGTCCGCCGTCGAAGCGCAACGGAACACAGGAGACAGCAACAATTAGGTCGGGCATGTCCCGCTACAGGCGGATTTTCGACGAAAATCAAAAATAGCCAAAAAATAATCAAACAAAAACTCAAACATGGTAGAAAAATCGTCACCAGACTATTTTGTTTACTATTTTTGAATACTCCTCCTATAGAGGGAAACGCCCGACGTAAAGCAACAACCGACAAAAAAAGCGAGCATTCCAGACTCAGGCAGGACGGGGATCAGACGAGGGCGAGGGAAGCGGACCGCGGAGGACGAGGATCGGGCGAGGAACGAGGCGGCCCCGAGCTCACACCAGGGGCTTCCCAGAGCCTCCCCACCGTGGCCACCCCAGGGCCTCCCTGAGACGCCCAGGGCCCCGGAGCCTCACGCAGAGCCTGGCCGAGACTCCCCAGACGTCTGGCCCCAGACAGAGCTGCAGCAGAAGAGCATCCATTGGGAATGGGGGCCCGGCCGAGCCCCCGGAGGGCCCCAGGACGGCCCCTGGATGGGCCCCAGCGTCGGCCCCCATGTCGCCCCAGAGCGCCCCAGTGCCTGCCAGAGAGGACCCCTCAGCGCGACCCCGGGCGAGCCCACCGACGTCTCCAGAGCCGGCGAGGAGGCGAAGAGCTGTCCGCGAGGGTCGCAGGCGATCTGTCCCACGCACGCCACGAGCCCGCAGCCGCCCCGCTACGCAGCGCACGCAGCGCGTCGCGTATCGAAGGGGAGCTCCACGCGCGGATTGAGAACGTGCGCCTCGCGCGGCACGTTCGCCAGAACGGGGGCCAACACGTGGAGCCGACACGCAACGTGCTGACACCGACGTCTTTCTTGAGCACGGCAGCAACGTTGCGTCTCGAAACGGGCGTGTCGGGGCAGCTGAGCACGAGCCACATCCCCAGCAATTGCCTGCACCGCCCTCTTGGGGGCAGATACTCGCCTCGGCTGGCGGAACCGCCCCAGTCTTCCTCACGCCGGCCGCTCCTGCCTCCCGTCGGCTTCCGCTGAGGAAGAGACGTCAGCGTCTCGATCTCTCGCAGGCGAGGCCCTCTGGAAAGCACCATGGCATGGCGCACCTGTAGACGAATGCACCGATTACTCCACATTGCTGAATCTAGAAGCCTCCCAAATGAGGTCCGAGCAGATGGGGTCGGAGGATCGCGACGCATCGGCAATGCATCCGCGATACATCGGCGATGCATCGGCGATGCATCGCCGACGTCGGCGACGCATCGGCGCCGTCGACATGGAGAAAGTCGTGCTCCACATCGAGCCGCATCGCCGATGCATCGGCGATGCAGCGCGATCCTCCGAACCCATCTACTCGGACCCCATCAGGGAGGCTTAGCTTTACGAATGCACCGATTACCCCACGTTGCTGAATCAGCCCCCCCCCCCTGCCACCTCGTCCGACAGCCTCTACCACCACAGCCCCACGCGCGCCCCAACCACCCTCTAATTAGAGCGGTCCAACATCCCACACGCTCCGCTCGAGGCATCTTAACTCTCTACCCTGATTATCAATCAAGGGATCCCCAACCATTTGGGAGCAGACCTAAGTTAGGAGGCCCAAAACATTAAACATTAGGGATCGGGCCCTCTTCAGTAGATGTACCAAACCAAACCACCCAGCTTGATCATCCTGAATGCAAAGACGGGGGCCTGAGTTAGGCCAGATGTTCATTGAGGTATGAGGGTCAGGGGTTATTTTATTCTTGATGAAAACTCCCCGCGCGATCCGCCCCCCACGTTTATCGAACAGCATGGGACACAAGCTCTGACGAATCCTACCCTGCACTGTTTCTCTCCGAGGCGCTAGCTCGTGTCCGCAGCCACGGGCTCGACTTCCGGCAAGAAACGGGGGGCCGAAAAACTGCCGGGTCGGCGCTGAGTTCAAGTGCCATCGGGACGGCCCAAACGCTGACCTGACCAGCCGGCCATGGAACTGCCGTCTCAGGGCCACGATCGATGGAGTGGGCATCCACCCGAAGAGACTCGGCCGAACCGAGCGCTGACCAGACCTCCTGGCCGAGATACCCGTCCGTATCCGCGTCCTCGCGGTCCGAACTCTTCGGCCGCGATCCCATGAACACCCGGCGGCGTTGCGCGGGTCCACTGCGCGGCGCGCATCCATGGGATGGCCATGCCGTCGCGCCTCGGTGCCCAGACCGCGAAGGCGCGGATACGAACTGATGCCGCCGCTCGTGAACGCCCCCGTCCCTTCAGATCCTTAGAATTAAGTCGGGCCTGTCCCCCTACAGGGGGGATTTTCGATGAGAAATTGAAAATAGTTTTTTTATTCAAAAATTGTCAAGAGATGCTCAAGAAATCGTCCCCAGACTATTGTTTGACTAGTTCTGAACATTCCTCCCGTAGAGGGACAGGCCCGACAGATCTTTAGAAGAAGAAGAAGAAAACTAAGAAAAAGGAGAAGACCGCGGGCCCCGCTGCCGGGGCGCGGCGCCCGGCCCCTAGCAGGCAGCTAGAGCGCGCTGCTCGCCGCGCCCCTCTCCGCCGCCTCCATGGCGTCGTCCGGGATCACGCCCAGCGCGTAGTCGCAGCTGCCCCCCGACAGCGGGCCCAGCAGCGCCGCAAAGTCGGTGGCGACGGCGCCGCCGGAGTCGGGGTCGGCGACGATGTCGAAGGACCGGTTCTTGTAGTCCTCGTGCAGCAGGCTCTGCACGAGGACCTCCGCGACGTCGTCGCGGGGTATGGAGCGGCTCTCCGTGCCGAGGATGGCGTCGTCGAGCCCCACGCGGAGCTGCCTCGTGCCCCCTGGCTCGTTGATCAGGCCACCAGGGTGCACGATCGTGTAGGTGAGGCCAGAATCGATGAGGTGCTTCTCGGCCTTCCGCTTCCAGAGGAGGATGTTCCCGCCGGTGCCGTCGGGGTTCTTCCCGAACTTGTTGAGCATGTTCTCCGGGTTCGTCCCGCCCATTGAGCTACAGATGACCACGTGCTTCACGCCGGCCGCCCTGGCCGCGTCTACCTGCCGCCTCTGGGCGACCCAGTCCACCTGGTAGGGCTGCCCGTCTGGGAAGCCCATGTTGGGGCGCCCCGTTTCGGCGTTCACCCCGCCCGTGGGCTTGACCTTCGCGGTCAAGATGTACATCCATACCCACTGCATCTCGGAGTTTCGGGCTCCCTTCCCCAGACGCCCGAGGCGCAGATATGGACAAAAGTCTGGCCCCTAGAGGCTAGATGTTTGTCCATATCCACGGCGCCACGGCCTGTTGGCGCCTCTCCCCAGAAAGTCCAAGACGCAGTGGACGTGGATATGAGTCGTGCCCGCAACCTTGGCAGACGTGCCCACGATCAGCGCGACGCACCCCGCCAAGGCCCCCATCAGCGCCCGGCCCACTACCAGGTCGTCCTCCCCGGCCAGGTCCACCGCCACGACCTGCTCCGGGGCGGCGCCCGTGGCGGCGAGCAGGGCCTCGCGGGACTCCTCGGTGCGGACGACGCCCACGGGCGCGAACCTCTCCGGCTGCGCGAGCATCTTGCGGAACGCGTGGCCCCCCGTCTGCCCGCCAGCGCCGGTGACGGCGACGCGCATCGGGGCGCCGCTGGCGCCCCGGGGCAACAGCGCGGCAGCGGCCAGCAGGGCGCCGAGGGGCCTCATCGCGGCGTGGGGCCGCGGGCCGAAAGGGAAGAGTGCGCCCCGGTGGAGGGTGGGGCCGGAGGGGCCTGGGCCGAAATGGCTCCCTGCGGCATCCGGCGATCCGTTCTGAAGAGGTGAGCGACAAAAACCGGAACCGGCCTCGCGCGAGATGGCACAGCGGCCTTGAGCGGTGACGTACGCGGCCGCCGGCGCGGCGCGCTGCGTTGGAAACGAGGAGGCTGACGCGCGACCCTCCGCGGGCAACTTACGCGCGAATGTCCGCGCAGTCGGGCCCGTTTTTATGAATGCATAGCTCAAGTGGCTCAGGTCTGTGGCACGGCTTGGGCCGCTTCGGCGAGCACCAGCTCCCAGCAGGCGTCCTTGCGCGCTGCGACCCCGTGCAATCAGTGCGCGCGGGGGGACCTCAGTTCCCGGAGGCATGCAGAGTTCCGCAGCCTTGATTCAGCAACCATGGGAGATTGATCTCATTACTTCCAATCACGGCCATGACTGTGGGGGAAGCCGGGTCACGGTAACGCGTGGGCGGGGTAGGGCACGTCGGAGCGGGGGGGGCTGCGCTCGCCATCATATGGGGCCCAGGACCCCCCTTTACGCACGATCGTTACTGCTTTCGGGTGGAGTGGCCGGATAACGACCGTTACGCGCCAGAGGGCAATAAACAACAATCTTAGCATGAATTAATGACTTGACCGATTGCCCCTATGCCAGGCTGGCAACGATGTCCTGGTGCGCTCGGCCCGCGTTTTCCCCAGTTCACGACTCCACCGACAGGGGTCACAAGCCTCAACCGGAGAGACTTGCCTCCCGCGGCCGTTAAACAGCTTCCTCGGGCCAAACGGCCGTCAATTATCGCATTGCCACCCCCTCGGGAATGCTTCGAGTTTCGCACAGACGGCCCCCGCGGTAGTCCCGGCTGGCCTCACCAGGCCCCACCAGTAGTCCCAGCTGGACTCAACGGGCCCCCCGAGTAGCCTAGGGCGGTCTCAACACCCCAGCCCTAGGGCGCGGAGCGCCCCAGGGGCGCCGCCCGAGGCGGCGCCAGGGTGCTGAGTCTCTTTTGAGACCGCCCTGGACTACTCGCGGGGGAATGTTGCCGAAATTCTGGATTCGACGCCAAGATGATTTTCACGTCGGCTCCCATTTCGGTCACTACGTTTTCAGTCACAACTTCGGGCACGTTGCCGGTCACCGATTCTTGCTGGTCGCATACCATTCCGACTGACAGGGGCCCGGTGCCATGATACAGTCAAAACGTGCATTGCGGACGGGTGGTGAGGACGCAAGACCCCTAAAGGCCGAAGCTGGGATTTGTTTTGTTGGTCGACGGGCGACAAGTGAAACCAGCAAGGGACGAGTCGCAGAGGCAAGGACACAAGGGCACCCCAGGTAGAGGCGCGCGTCCCTACTAGGCGCGTTCACTGTATTGGTGTTGGTGCCGACCCCCAGGCCGCCCTCCGAAACTCCGAAATCGGCGGCCTGGTTGCAGCGCCGCTCCGAGGGGGACGCCCCCCGGGGGGGAGCGCAGGAACTGGCCGTCCCGGCATTCCTATAGCTCTACCACGACATCGTCTTAGAACCCAAGGACGTCTGAAGAACAAAAGCAGTGCTCTTAGAACATGGACCCGACGTGCTAAAACACGACAATCTCGGCCAGAGATGTTCTAAGAACATGTCGTGCAGACCGCAAGAGGTTCTTTGGACATTCTTTGGTGTGCCTATCGGCAAGCCCCGACGCTTCGCCACCTCTCGAGGGGGAAGGGGCGGGAGGTGGCGCCCAGCTCCCTGCGCCCGGCAGCACCCGGCGACCACGAGCGTGGCGGCGCAGGGGAGCGCCGAGAGAGAAGGCGAGGAGGAGGCGAAGGAGGGGTAGAGGAAGAGAAGGGGAAGGAGGAAAAGGGGGAGGAGGGAGAGGAGGAGGAAGGGAAGGAGGAGGAGGAGGAGGGGGAGGAGGGGAGGAGGGGAGGAAGAGGTGGAGGAAGAGGAGGGAAGGAGGAGGAGGAGGAGGAGGAGGATGAGGAGAAGGAAGGAAGAGGAGGGGAGGGAGGGAGGAGGAGGAGGAGGAGGAGGAGAAGGAGGAGGAGGAGGAGGAGGAGGAGGAGGAGGAGGAGGAGGGGAGGCAGAGGAGGACGAGGATTGGATTGGACACTTCGTTTGTCAGGCTGAGACACGCAAGCGGAAGGAGCGGGAGTAGACCACCGACCCCTCGTGCCACACGTGGGGCAGCGAGCGTGGCAGGCCGGGGCGGGGACCCACCCAGGCTCGCATCTCACGCCAGCCTGTCAGAGCCCCCCGCCACAGCGCTTGCAAGCGCCTGCTCCCACGCTAAGCCAGGTCGGGTCGGCGCTTCAGCACTCTTGGAGGTCGCTTGGCAGGCTCGAGAGGTCTCGTTTTCGTCTGGGTGGCCGTCGGTTGTTGGCATTGCATCACTCGGGGACCCGAAGATCGCCCGATGGACCCAAAGGTCGCAAGACCTTGACGGGCCCTCTTGAGGCTCTGGGGCGGCCACTGGGAACTGAAAGAACGGGAGGAGCGGGGTAAACGAGAGGAAGGGCAGGAGGGCAACCGTCGTTTTGGTCAGAACGGGGATACAATTACAGGAATTGTTGGGAATCAGGAGGTCGACAATACCAGGAATTTCTAACAAATGACCGCGTTTTAGTGCCATGGCAACTTTATCCATTGTCAGACTCTCGGGTCGGAATATCGAAGCTCGCTTTGATAGAAATCACGACGAACACGTTCACATGGGTGTCCGGGGTCTCGGGAACCACGTATCACATTCCTGAGTGACGTCTTGCATATGGCAATGCACTCATAACCACACTCCCAGGGTATGGGGGGATCGCCCACGGCACCGTTTCGATGACACGCCACCGCGAGGTACCCATCAGCGCGTTACGGCTGAAGATAAACCGAGCCTTCGGACAGAAACGAAAGTGCAGACTCTCGGGGGCCTCCCATGCAATTCTGCTGCGTCGTGCGAATCAACGCTAAACGACGCTAGTCGACGCCAAAACGACGCGAATCGACGCTAGCAGACGCTAGAGGACGCGAAATCAAAGTTTTCTGATCGATTGCCAAGCTCTAGCGAAGGCTGGTGCGTTCTAGAGACGGAAGTACAAGGACAAACTAGGCTCCCATGATTTGCTACCAAACCTATCCCAAAAAGGACGAGGAGAGGGGTGGCCGGTGGGGATTGTAGTGGCGGGTGGGGACTGACACCGCTTCTATTCGGCAGCGCTGGCGGACGCGGGCGCGCGGGTCGAGACCAGAAGGGCGCGCCTGGCGCGGGGCGCACGAGACGAGTGGAGGATGTAAGGGGAAGGAAGGAGGAGGGAGGACGGAGGAGGGAGGAGGGAAGAGAGAGGAGGGAGGAGGAGAAGGAGAAGGAGGAGGAGGAAGAGGAGGAGGAGGAGGAGGAGGAGGAGGAGGAGGCCCGACCGCCGAGAATCGACGAGTGAAGGGCGCGCAGACGGCCCCAGGCACCAAAGACGGCGTGCTACAAGTCGCGGAGCAGCGGGAGGGCCGCGCCGTCGAAGCAAAAGGCGGCCCGGCGGGGCGCATCAGCACCGCCTCGGGCCAGGGGCAAGGGCCGCCTGCCAGGGCGCTGGGGAGTGGGGGAGGAGGGGGGCGACGATAGGCAGCAAGGAAGCCCCTAACCAATTTGGGAGGGGACCTAAGTTAGCGGGCTCCCCGCCGGTGGCACCGCGGGGGTATAAACTCTGCAGCCGCCCAGGGGCAGGCGTCCCCAACGGCAGAAAAAATGATGTCATATCTTCCTTCGCCCCCTGAAAGCCTGGAGGGCCAAAACCATCGGGGATAGGGGGCTTCGTTCACAGATTCACCAAACGAATCCACCCACCTATTCAGGGACGTCCCTAAAAACCGTGGCCCTGAGATAGGTCACTCATCGTGTTTGCTAAGGTTAAGGGTTGAATCGCGCTTAGTGAACCGAGGCCGACGACGGGTGCTGAAACACTTTTTTTGCGTCGGCAGCGCGGCAGAAGCAGTCCGCACGCGCGTTCAGGCGGTCTAGGCAACGGAAAACGCAGACTAAATTGCAGGGGCGAAAGCGGCCGCGAGGGAGGACGGTGGGAGGGGAGGGCACTCACATGGCGAGGTGAGTCGACGTGGAGCGGCCAAGGCAGCCAGCCCAGGCTGCACCCGGAAGGGTGGGGGCTGGAACCCGCGGGGGGGGGGGGGAGGCGACAAAGGCAGAAGATCACCCGCCGCAGAGCCTCGGCGCCGTCGAGCACGAGCGCCGTTGCCTCCCCGCCGGAACCGCTGGTGCTGCGGGCACTCTCGGCCGCGGCGCCCGCAACCTGCCCTGCCCATCGGGGGCGTCTAAGAGGAGCAAACAAGATCTGTATCCACATCCAATGCGGTTTGGAGCTTCGGGCTCCCCACACCAGGAGCCAAAGGCGCAGTGGAGATGGACAGAAGTCTGGCCTCTAGAGGCTACATGCTTCTCCATATCCATTGCGCCTCAGCCTTTGGGCGCCCCTTTCCCAGAAAGCCCCTGACGCTGTATATATAAATATAAATATTGCCCGCATAAACGAGGGGGGCTCGCAAATCATACCCCGAAGCAAAGAAGGGGGCCAAGAGACGAATTGAAAGAAGAGAAGATGCCAATGTAATCCGGGCAATGTTCATGGCCCTGGCCATGACATCCACACACAAACACACACACACACACACACACACACACACACACACACACATATATATATATATACATATATATACACACAGCTATCACCCCCCATCTCAGACGCCTCCGATCCCAAGGAGGGTTTGCTTCGGAATCCCACTAGCCCTTTGGGCGACAGGTGGTCTAAAGAGGGTCTCTTGCCTCTTCCACAACCCCTCTTCCCTTCGGGGAGGGGAACCCTCCCCCTCTCATCACTGAAGTTTTTTGGGAGGGGCCGCGAGGTGTCAGAGGGTCCTTTTTTTCCGGCTCCTGAAAGAGCCAATGTTGGCCACCCCTCACGAGGATCGTGGCTCCTGATGGGGGGACGAACATCGGTACCCCCCCTCTTTTGACCGACCGCCTCCAAGATGGCCCCAAAGAGACCCTCCAGGACTCCCAAGACGCTCACAAGAGGGCACAAAGAGCGCCCCAAGAAGCCCCAAGAGGCCTCCAAGAGGCACCCGGAAGGCCCCCAAGAGGCCCCCGAGCGGCCTCGGAGAGCCCAAGATGAGCTTCAAGACGGCTCAGATAGCCCGAGCTGGCTCAAGATGGCTCCCAAGATGCTCCAAGCGGCCCCAAGACCGCTCCAAGACGGCTCGAGTAGGCCACGGAGCCTCCCAAGCCTCCCTCGCTGTTTGACAATGCGTGTCTCTTCCTCTTTCCCCCCGTCAACTCTCATGGTCATCGTTTCTGGATGGGCTGGTGGGGATATTTTTTGTCGCAACCGCAGGCGAGGGCGCCAGCGGCGAGTGATGCCCGAGCGGGCCGCGCAAGAGCCGAATTGCCTAACGCCGACGGGCCGGCGACCTCAGCAGCGCCTCGGCGGGCGGGCCGGCGTGAGGGGGGGTGCAACCTGCAGCTGCCAGGGACCAGGTCCAGCGGCGCGCACATGCAAGATTAACCAACCAGGGTTGGGGCGCAGCCAAAATGGCGTACTGGTGGGGATACGCAAAGCGTCAAAAATTCGCCCAGGGATCTGGCGTGGAGCCCCTGGCCAGCTAACCCCCCCGAATCGTGCAAAATCACGGCGGAAGGATTTGGATCAACTTTCGGCCTCCAGGGATCCTCACAGGGCGCCAGGACTGTCAGGAAACGGTTCAGGATGAAGAGCTGGCCCCGTGGCAGCAGGCGATGCCTCGGGGAGCAATACACCACCGTCACGAACAAGAACAACAAATTCTTCGAGGAGCAAACAATGGCACGAACACTCCACTTTCGGAGATCCGCGCGAATAGTTCTCGGATCGGTGTTGGGCCCGCCCCCTGACGCGCCAAGCGCGCCATAGGTGGCGCCAGAGGCGCCGCAAGGGGGCTCCAGCACCGATCCGAGAAACCGGCGCGGACCTCCGACCTTTCATGTCTATGCCATGATCAGTTCCCCGATTTCTACTGCCGGTGAATACGGTCAGGCTGCTGAATAAGAAACGAAGCGCCCCTTGTCAGCCCCCCAAACCCCTGCGGGCACGATGACTGCAGCAGAAGCAGCCATGGAAGGACCCTAGGAACATCGAGCCCCTTCTGAAACCAAAACAATCCTTATTTCAACCACTTGTCTGTATCCCACCCCTCTCCATCTTCCTAGCGTGCATTAAAGCTGGCGGCGTTCGGCGGAGTCGCGTCGGTTTCCTCACGGTATTTGTCCCAACCATCCTGTGGTGTTGGGTCCTCGGTTTGAAAAGACAGCGCCCCGCGATCCTCCTTTTTTCCTGCCTCCTCCTCCCCTCATCCCTCTCCTCACCTCTGCCCTCCTCCCCCCCCCTCCCTCCTCCGCAGTACGCGTGTTTCTCTCCCAACCAGTACAACGTTTCGTGGCCCCACAAGGAGCTCCATCGAAGGTCCCACTGGCGCAGTTTTCATGCGCCACCACCACCACCACCACCACCCCCGCCCAGCACAGCGCTTCGTGGCCCCAGAGGGAGCTCCACCGAAGGTCCCACTGGCGCAGTTCGCATGCGCCCCCCCCCCCCGCCCACCCCCACCCCACCCAGCACAGCGTCTCGTGGCCCCGAAGGGAGTTCCACCGAAGGTCCTAGTGGCGCATCGCATGCGCCCCCCCCCCACCCACCCACCCACCCAATACAGCACTCCGTGGCCCCAGAGGGGCCGCCGTATGCACTTTCTCCCTATGTGTGTATATATCTATATATACACACATACATACATACATACATACATACATACATGCATGCATGCATGCATGCATGCATGCATGCATGCATGCATACATACATACATACATACATACATACATACATACATACATCCGCAGGCCGAAAGTTTTTTTCAGTTTGGACTAAGAATATGAGAACACCAATGGACCCAATTGGATCCCATTTCGGGTGTGGGAGAGTTTTCGTGGATCCTATTTCTGTGTTGCGCGGATCCAATTTCCTGTGTGTGTGTGTGAAAAAAACGATGGATCCATTTATTCCCGGGAAATCAATCTACAATCATAATTAGCATCCGGGACCCAGGGGAAATTGGATCCGCGGAGCACCGCAAGTGAAGCATCATGCTATCCACGGACCTGTGGATCTGCAGACCAATGCTATGAGAAGGAGGAGGAGGAGGAGGAGGAGAGGGAGGAGGAGGAGGAGGAGGAGGAGGAGGAGGAGGGAGGAGGGAGGAGAGAGGAGGGAGGCGGACGGACGAAGGAGGAAGGAAGAGGAGGGAGGAGGCGGGAGGAGGAGGGGGGAAGTGGGAGGAGGAGAGGAAAGGATGAGGGAGGGCGAGGACACACAAACAAAATGTCCAAGTCGGAAGCTCGAGCGCCACAGAGGGCCCGGCCGCCTCCCTTCACTTGTCCCATAACATGTGGTTGTGCGAGCGCCACCGCGGGCCTGGCCATCACCCGAAAATCCTCCCATAACAGAAGCTTGCTCGAAAGCCGCAGCGGGCCCGGCCAACTCCCGCATCTCCACCCATAACATATCTACCCCGCCTCGAAGCGAGCGCTACATGTATCCGCTCACCTGAACGGCGCGTCGTTTCCGACATATGGGGCTCAAGAGGAACATCTGTTGGCCTGCGTATATATATATACATATATATATACACACATATGCACGCGTGATGTATGTATGTATGTATGTATGTATGGATGGATACATGGATGTGTGGCCGGATGGACGTCTGGATGTATGTGTGTAAGGATGTACGCAGGCTTGTACGTATGTACATGTGTATGTATGTATGCATGGATGTATGCATGTATGAAATGTATGTATGGTATGGATGTGCGTGTGTGTACGTATGCGTGTATATGTGTACGCGTGTATGTGTGTAGGTTGGTGGGTAGGTACGTAGGTACGTATACATATATGTTTATATGCATGCCGAACTGCTCGTACGTGTGTATGTATGTATGTGTGTATGTATGCACGCATGCATACATACATGCATGCATATACACATGCGCATATACATACATGCATACACGCATGCGTACACTGATACATATATATATATGTGTATGGATCGATGCATGCACGCAGACATGCATTAACGCATTACGTTGAACGCACATGCAGACAAGCATCCTTACACATATACACATGCAAACGTACATGAATGCATGCATGCACGCATGCATACATACCTACATGAATGCATGGATTCATGCATGTATACACATGTAATTATATATACACACACCTATATATATATATATATATATATATATACATCGCAACTCGCACTTCCCAGCTGCCAGGGCGATGCATTTTCCGACGGGGCGAGCGCGGGAGAGCGAGGCCAGGGCAAAAACCAGAGAAGCTGAGACTGACAGCTGCTGCCGGCGAGAGCCGCGCGCCTTCAAAGTTACTGCCCAGAGCCACCCGGCAAAATCGCGCAATCGAGAAAGAAGGACAAGGAAGGAGCGGGAGAGGGGGCTTGAGCGAGATGGCCAAGTGGCCCATGAAGCGCGGCAACTTTGCCGTGGGACGCAGCATCAACTTGCGAAAGGAACCGGCAACTTCCACTTCCCAACTGCCAGGGCGATGCATGTTCCTGCGGGGCGAGCGCGGGAGAGCGAGGCCACAGCAAGACCAGAGAAGCTGAGACTGACAGCTGCTGCCGGCGAGAGCCGCGCGCCTTCAAAGTTACTGCCCAGAGCTATTTGCATCCCGCAGAGCGGACCTGCCCACGACAGGTGGCCGAAAACGACTTACGCACGAATATTCTGAAGCCCTACATTGGCCATGCAGAAACGCAAGGAAAATCCCGCGCGACACCCCTTGAAATGCTTCAAACACACTGTGTTTTGCCACATTCTGCGGCGGCGAGAGGGCGAACGCCCGCCAACGCGGGCGACACCGACCACCACAAGGAGACAAAATCCATGCAAAAGTGCAGTGTTTAGCGGGGCAGAAGGGGGTGACGCACGGGAAAGCACTGCGCGTTTAGCAGCGCGCGCGTTGGTGGCCGAATTCAGCTACATGCATAAACCAGCATTCATCATCCAGTCTTTTCTGAGCGCATTGGCCGAGTGCGTCGTGGCATAGACAGCGGCGCGGGCCGCAGCCAGCGCGCCGCCAGGCTGGGCCGGCGCGGCAGGCGGCAGGGGCATGAGGACTCCAGGCGCCAGCGCACGGCCGCCGAGCGCCGCCACCAGCCCAGCCACGCCCGCCGCTGGCGCAGCAGCAACGCCTGCCGCGGGAGGCGCAAGCCCGCCATGAGCTGCCGCTGTCGCAGCCGCCAGCGCCCTGCCAGACGCGTTCGGCACGATGGGACCAGCGGGGGCAGGGAAGCCCAGCCGGCCAGCCGCAGCCGCAGCAGCCGCCAGCAGCGTGGCTGGCGTGGGCAAGCTGCGGGATCTGTAGTACAGCGCTCCTGGCGCCCACGGCATGGTGCCACCCGCCGCGCCGCCTGGGAAAATGTCCCACCTCACGACGTCGGGCGAGCCCACGTACACCTCCTCCTACTCGTCGGCGTCGGGAGTGACGACGCTAGCGGCGCCTGGCTGACCAGGCGGCACCAGCACGACCAGCCCCTCGTGGATCAGCACCGCCCCCCTGACGTGGTACTGCGCCCCGAGAGAATCCCCAGGCGCCACGCCGGGCGCGGTCACGGAGGGGTAGGCCGGCGGCCTCCCGCGCCTGAGCCCGAGCCTCCTCCTCGAAGTCTGGCTCGGACGCAGGCAGCGGCGCCGCGCCGCGCGCGACCGCGATCCGCCCGCCCGCCAGGCGCCAGCAAGCCACCGCGGCGGCGCTGGCTCCAGCGAGCCCGCTGGCGGCGCAGGCCAGCGCCACCGACCAGAGGCTCGGCCCCTGGCTGCTCGTGCCCTGGAGGCCCGAGCAATCGCACCGCAGCTCTGGGCTGTGGAGCTGCGGGGAGCAGGAGCACACCGGGCACTGGGCCTGCCCCTAGTTGGCCGCGTACACCGCCAGCCCCGTGCTCAGCCCGCGGCCCACCTCTGGTAGGAAGGCGCCAGCCGCGGCGGAAAGGGCAGCGAACATCCGGGCGGAAGTCGCTCGAGGCTTGAGCGAGATGGCCACGATAGCCCATCAAGTGCGGCAACTTCGCCGTGGGACGCAGCATCAACTTGTGGAAATAACGATATACACAGATATGTGCATGCATGTAGAGAAAAAGAGAGAGAGATGGAAAAAAAGGCAGAGAGTGAGAGGCAAAGCCAGGTAAAGCGGAACAATATATAGAACCAGAACGATATGCGTGATCACTATGCTGCCGGCGACGGCAGCAACGAGCCTCACCCGCGAGGGTGCCCCCCCCGCCCTCCGCTCCGCGCGGTTCGTCGACGCCTTGGCCCGCTGCATGCGCAGCACCCTGGGCATCGTATCCTCGACCTTCAGCGGCCGCCTGTACGCCACGAACGTATATACACGGACACCCTCCGACCAATGTTGCATGCACCTTCAGGGAAAGTGGCGGTGT